CGGGTCGGGAGGGAACTGTGCTAATGTTACAAAGTTGCTTGGCTTCCTGCTTGGCCCACAGATTTATTCCCCTCTTTTTCGCCTAGACTTTGTATACAGTTCATTAACTTGGCCACAATGATGGAATGGTGCAGACGTGAGGACGTGAAGACCAAGCCAAAACTGAATTTCACTTTTTTTGCGCACAATTTGAAGTTCAACGAGCACGTCCCCTGCCTGCTTTCTTCCCATCGGGGGGTGCCGATGCCTCCGGGCCTCCTCTGTGCTTGCCAAGAAACCAGTTGAGCGAGCCATGGCTCTGAAATTGCAAATTACCGCCTCATAACCTGCAGGTCTAAATGCCCATTGTAGGTCCCGTCCGGTCCGGAGTGAAGCGGAGGGGAGAGGGCATTTAATTAAAATACTTTCACTGCCTGCTTACCGCAAGCAAATGCCAAACTGTCTGCTAGTCATAAATTTATGCCACTCTGTTGTACATAATTATGAGAAATCCGGCAATGCACAAGCGACAGTTGGCCAAGAGTTGCTGCAGTCACGATGGCAGGATGTCAGTTAGTACAAAAAATTAGAAAAGAGAGACTCGGCTCAGTGGCTTATGCCCCAAATGACGTTGATTCGCTGTACAAATTTCCCATATTCGAAGATGGAGGAGATCTGTCTAGGATTAATGCATCTTTCGTTTCCTTTCAACTTAAGATATGAGATATGATGCCTTTAGATTTCCTGTACGATGTGTTAAGGGAAACATACTATTATCTAAGCCTCATCAAATCAAAACTGACTTTCGTTGGCCCCCATGTACCATAATATTTGTTACAGTTTCAATTGAAACCCTACAACTATTATGGCCATGATAGCCCCTTTATGGAGTGGAGTGGAGTGGAGAGGAGTGAAGAGTGATGCCTGCCACATAATTAAACTTAAAGACTGTGCTGTTATGGCCTTTGTGCTCCCAATGAGCCCCAGCCCCCCAATAAACCGAATACGAAACAAACAAAAACAGAAAAAGTATTCAAAAAGCGATATAACTAAAGGTTGGAAAAGAGCTACAAAAACCGAAGCTGAACCAAACAAAAAGTCGAATCGCTTTTCGCAAGCAAACGTGCTGTCATTAAATTTAATAAGCACTTTTTTAGGCCAAGCTTGGATTTTTTTTTTTTTTTTTTTGTCCAAGCCCTACCCGGCCGGCCCCCCGTTCTGCTCCGCGTTCTGCTCACCCGGAACACGAAAAAACGACAAGTCAAGCATTTAAAAACGAAATGTTCATAGCAAAATATAGTATGAACAAAACAGAAGAAAATAAAAGAAATAAAAACTACAAATAGCGTCGGCTCCGAGTCTTTCCAACAGAATTCTTTCTTGGTAAAAGGGCAGCGTCGCCGCGGAGTAAATGAACTCTGTGAAGAGGCCCATCAGCGCTGTCTAACGGCTCATCTAGGGGGGGGGGGGATAGCGGACCGGACCCCAGTAGCACACTTTTTCTCATTTGTTTGCCAGAGTCTCAAGAGTTATGAAATATTGTACGCATAACGCCTTACATTTCACACATGGCGGGGTCTGGTCTGGTCTAGTCTGGTCTGGGCTCTGGGCAGACAAATGAAGTGTTTCTTGGGCAAATTACAGACCGAATACGAGGAAAACCCCGCACCGTTAATGAAGCAACAAATTGAGTGATTATGAAGGGACGGACCGGATCGGACTGGACTGGGCCGGCGTTAAAGCCCCCACAAATTATATACGTAATCGTGGATAGAAGGAAAATGCGCTTTTAAATGCGGTCGGTCCCGTTTGGGCCAAGAGTCTATCTCTCTCTCTGAGTGTGCCGCACGGGTTTTGACGGAAGCACTCATTACGGACCACATCGAGGAAGGCTTTTGTCTTTCGGGCGGCAGTGCACCAGATCCCCAAGCGTCTGGATGCCTGTGTGCCTGTGTGCCTTTCCATTTGAATGCATCGCACAAAAGGTGGGTCCGGGCTGCGGTCCCGGTCCCGTCTGAATATTATGAGAATAATAATAACACTAAAGGAAATATGTATAATAATATCGCGTTTCAGTCGAAAAGTGTGCAGAACTTGGAACTTTTTCGCATTCAGTGCACACGGGCGCACAGCAAACTCTCAATTGCAAAACCCACTCCCACTCCACCCACTTCTGCCACTAGTTCTGTTCGGGGTAATGGAATTGTGGAACAGTGCACTGTGAGTGGTGCTGCTGGTGGCAGCTTCGGCTCCAACTGGCAACTCAATTATAAAGCGAGGAGCAACGCACAAAACACATTAAAAATTGCAAGTGGAGGAAAGCTGCTTGTTTTTTCTTGAGCTTCTTCTTTGCTTTTATTCTGTTTCTGTTTATTTTGCGTTCTTTCCACTTTTCGCTTTTCTGCAATTTATTGAGTTCCCCCTTTGGCATTGTTTTGTTCTCCACCCCCAGTTAGGGGTAAGAGGTATGGGGTAATGGCCAACTCTGTGCACAGCAATTTTTTCACATTTTTCTGCATGCAATTGGAAATTATGTCCGGAGCACAAGTGTACCAGTCCGAATGGTACGAGTGTATGCGAAATGGGAATCCATAACTCAAAGCGCCAATAAAGAGCTGCAATCCTGTTGGTCACTCGCTTAACTCAAATTTATGGGAACTCTAGAAGTGCAGAGAGAGAGGCGCCCTGGGGCCACTATTTTATTAGAGAATGCTTGAGAAGTGCACCTCGGCTTGAACTATTTATATACCCCCGATGGCCTGCTGAGAGGCGATCCATCAGCAGGTTGCAGCACCAGTGCCACCAGTGCCACCAGTGCTTAGTCATTAGGTGCAGGAAGTCATCAAGAACTAACCGCAATACGGGATCGATGGTGCACACACCTCTATAGGGAGAACTGGCCTCGATGGGAGATGAAAAGCAATTTCAATTGATCGACGCCGTCAGCTGTTTTGACGAGCCAGCAATTTGAGGCACGCACACAGGGAGCCAGCCAGCACCTGCTCTCCAGAGCGAGTCCAAGTCCAACAAAAAAATAGAATAGAGTATTTGTTGTATGCTGGTGGTCGTTGCAAGTTGGCGTGTTGCCGGAAGTGCAATTGTCGCATACCGGGGCACGCCCACCGAAAAAAGAAAATAAAAGAATAAACGAAAACGAAAACGAAATTGAACGTGCAACCCCCGCAGCAGCAAGCGGTGCTCCCCGCTCCCCGCTCCCGGCTCCCCCGCCGTCCAATTACAGAGAGATGCCATGGCAACGACCCGAGCGAGTGGGCGTTGTCTGTTGTGGGCGTTCGTCTTAATGAATATTGAAAATCAATTCGACAAAACGGAATGAAACGAAATGAAATGAGTTGAAACGCCGCCGCGGAGTCAATGCCACTTTATCACTTTGAACGAGCGACACTTTTCCCCCGGCTAAATGGAAATACGAGTTCCCCTCCTTGGTGGCTTGGTGGCTTGGTGGCATGGTGGCACGGTGGCATGGCACGTGTGACTAGCTCTCGATGGCATCATATCATATCGCTTTCCCCAGTGCGCCTCCGACATGTGGCACTTAAATGGGCATTTGTTGAGCGGAAGAACCAGAAGAGCAGCAGCTGTCAGTCTTATGTGCGGCTGTCGGTTGGCCAAACATGTTTTCCATCGTTCTCCAGAGAGCCTCGAGATGCATTCTCCTGGCCTCCTCCTGGCATGTGCCTGATAATTTAGCAAATTTCGTATGTCTCTCTCTCTCTCTCTCTCACACACACACTGTTTGGTAGAAGCGTACACATGTTGTTGCTGTGGCAGCAACGACTGACTAGGTAAATATTACCACTCAAACTCTGCTGGAATTTGTGAAAACGCGCTTGCTGCTGCTGCTGCTGCTGCTGCTGCTGCTGCATGGAAAACTTGAAAAACCGGCAATGCCGAAACGCCAAACGGCAAGCCACATGAAAAGTCAGCCACAGATACTGGTAGTACATCCACATCCACTCGTACTCGTATTCGTATTCGTACCTCCACAGCTCCGTGGACGAGCGGGCAGGCTGGCAAAGAGACATTAACAATTCACACATTTGTGGCAACATAATTTTCGGGCCGGCGATAGTCAGATCTCCCCCTGGGAGTGGGAGAGCGGCAGGGTGGGGGTCTCGAACGATGGGGGATTTTGAAATGCCAGCAAAACGGCGCAAGTCGAAAATGCAATTGGCAAAAAAAGCCACAGAGACGGAGCGGGAGGGGGGGCGGGAGGGGGTGGAGGTTGGTAGCCACATGTCGTGGTCGAAGTTGCAACTCTGTGTGCCACAACTATGCGCAATTACGAAAGCCGAGAGCAACGGCAACAATGTGGCAGCCATCATAACTTCCATTCAACCAGCACGACGGCCCAGCAGCCAGGCAAAAAGGCACAAAGGAAAAGCAGTAGCAAGCCAAGTAATTTTAATTTTAATCGAGTAAAAGCCTGGCACACAAAAGCAAAGAACTTTCCTTGGCCCCGTTCCACAGGCCGCAAATCGGAACTTTCCAAAACATTCTTACGACTGCTACAAAGTCCCCGCCAACTTGCCACCAGCTGCAAATTTAATACCGATTGGTCGCACTGGCTAGTCCACGAAATCTTTTGCAAGTAACGAGACTAGAGAGAACCTTAGTATAAGAGAGTGTTGACACTGGGGCTGCGTCATGCGTCTTTACACAGGATAAGCATGGAGGCCTAGCGGTGGCCAAAAGGTGCGTCCTTTTCGACTATTTTTTCGACTTACAGCACATTTCTTTGATCTTTTCTACCCATCAAGGCACCAACAATCATTGTATCATTAGATACGACATTTCTGTAATCCCCTGAGGCCTTAAAGACACTGCTGTTTAAATGGAAGCAGAACATCGATGGTCCTCATGGCGTGGGGAAGAACTCCCACAAAATATGAAACAAAATGTACTAACAAAAATCACGAGACTACAAAAAATACAAGTAGTTTTCAACTGAAAACAAACAGGGCAGCTCTGGCAGTATCTGTTGCCTGTGGCATGCATTCGACATAATTCAGAATTACAGGAAAATAAAAAACAAAAAAAAAATATAGACTCGAAGCGCAAAATTCCAGTAAGTAGAATTCGAATAATTAATCCGCCTCAAAGCACCTCAAAGAGGCCACTCCATGCCCCTTCGTCCGCAGTCTAGTACCATAGCAACATGTCTGAACAGCAAGCATCCCTACTGCTGAGGCGCCAACTTACAGAGCTTCACCGCAATCCGGTTGAGGGCTTCTCCGCCGGCCTGATCAACGACGCGGACATCTTCAAGTGGGAGGTGGTGATCATTGGCCCGCCGGAAACCCTGTACGAGGGCGGCTGCTTCAAGGCCCATCTCATCTTCCCCAAGGAGTATCCGCTGCGGCCGCCGACCATGAAGTTCGTCACCGACATATGGCACCCGAACATCGAAAAGGGCGGCAACGTCTGCATCTCCATTCTGCACGAGCCGGGCGACGACAAGTGGGGCTACGAGAAGGCCGAGGAGCGCTGGCTGCCCGTTCACACCGTGGAGACCATTCTCCTATCGGTCATATCGATGCTCACCGATCCCAATAGCGAGTCCGCTGCCAATGTCGATGCCGCCAAAGAGTATCGCGAGGATCCCGCCGAGTTCAAGCGGAAGGTGGCCCGCTGCGTGAGGCGCAGCCAGGAGGAGATTTAGACCCCAGACACGATGGTGGGGGTGGGGCAGCGTTCAACATGTACCAACAAACCAAAACTACAATAAAGTTGGCGAGTTCATTAAAATAGATTTTCTCTCTCTCTCTCGCTTTCTGAAAACATTTATATATCCATCTAGCGAAAGTGGCAAAGACGAGGGCATCAGTGGTGCTGGCATAACTCTTAATTGGCAGCTCTTCTAATTAGGCTGCCCCACAGCACCCCACCCCACTGCACCCACTTGGCCTGGACGGAAATCTCTTTGAGCTTGCGCCAATTCTGTGACGTCTGTCGCCACTAATTAGACTTAATCGCCCTCAACATTGAGGCGTTCGAGAATCGCTTCTTGCCTGCTTCGATGCCGCCTCTCACACGCTGCTGACCAGGCCAAGCGATCCTAAGCCGCTGAGCTTAATAGGCTTAGACCTCTTCCAGTTGCACACTGACACAGTTATGGCCACTTCTGCAGCCACATTGGCTCTAGATCTGGTGAGCGGACGCAGCTGGCAACTGGGCTGCTTTTTTTCTGGTCTTCACATGGCACTCACTTCAGAGGAAGACCAATGGAAAAAACTGAAAAACAAAAAAGTACTGTGACAGGCAGTGGTCGGCTTCTACGAGTATCCCTGGCTCTGGAGCTGGCTCTACCTTTGGGGCCTGCTGCCTCCTGGGCAACGACTTGTGAGCATTTTTGTGGTTAGCTGAACTTGTTTCTGTTGCTGTAATTGTTGTTTATTAGCAACAAGTTTTGCATTTTGATTTTCTTTTTTCTCGACCGTTGGTGTGGCTATGGGTCCGAAAGGGTTGGTCGTGTCCATGGGACTCCACAACAATGCTCCACTGTCGCATTGTTTGGGGTTGAGTCAATGCTGAAGCGGGCCATGGGTGTGCCGTCCCGAAACCCGATTCAGTGTGTGTCTGGCTAAAGTATTCAAACGGTCCGAGTATGATTCAGCAGCACTCACACAACTCACAACTCACAATACGGGTACCCAAAGCCGCAGTCGGACAGAAAATGGGCACAAATCGGTGAGCGATTCGGAAAGTGGGTAAATAAGGCCATGCACCTTCTTGGACGGGGGAAGCCAGCTAGCCAGCCAGCCAGTCAGCGAAGAAAACAAAAAATCGCCAATAATCTTGGCGGCAATAAGCCACAGCATCATCATCAGCAGTGGCCATAAGCACAAGCAGAGGCAACATGATCAGCAAATGGTAAAAAACGAAAACGAAACGAAAGAAAACAAAGCCAGAGAAAAGAAAACAGCACGAAACCAGCTTGAGATACTCGTACTGAAGAGGAGACGACCCCGGAGACCGAGAGGAAGTGGAAGAGGAGAGTCGGGTAACCGCTCGAGAGTCGGAGATGGAGATTCTTCATCGCAGCCACAATATTCGAGTAAAAACTCACTCAGCCAGTAGAAATTGAATTGATGCTGGCCCCGCCAGACGGACAGACAGACAGATGGACAGAAAGACAGCCAGACAGAGAGACATCCAGAGAGAGAGACAGGCCAAAAACCGGCTCTGGGGCTTCAGCCTGGGCCCCAAACGCACAGCGCAGCGCGTAAGCCGTGGCTCTGGACGGGACACGGCGGGACAGGGACAGGGACGAGGGGCACGACACCGTCAGGGGCAGCATTTATAAATAGCTTTCGATATGTGGTAGGGAGATCTTCTATCGGCTAATGGGAAAACCTAGCTGCACTGCCGCTGAGGGTCAATCCAAACAGGTAGCTGGCCGCGGCGAGGCAGGTCAGCTTCATTAGCCAAGCCGAGCGAGGGTGGAAAAACGCAGCTGAAAACTGAACAAGTGTTTGCCTGCATCGGCCTGATAGCAGATCGGAGAGTGTATGTTTTTCATTATTTTTCTTGGGAAAACTCTGCTATGAGCAGCCTACCAATTCTTGACTCTTGTGTACCTACCCGGACGATGTGAGAGTCGTTTCGTGTCGAAAATCCAATAGACCAAGCGCTGGGCTCCGTTTTCGAGATGTTTTTCGTGCTGGTGGTTGCTGGTAGTGGTGCTGATTCCAATGATGGTAGTAGTAGTGGTGCGTCGCATACGTGTTAAGTAAATTCCAATATGTGCTCTGGAGCTGCCTTTTTGTATCTTACAGATACACTGGCTCAGATACTGGTTTGTGATTTCGTAAAGTTGCTGTAACCGCAACGAGCATGCGAAAGAACGAGACAAATCACTGGGGCGGACACTGGGACACTGGGGACCCGAGAAACCACCATGAAGCGCAGTGAAATGTCGTCGTCGTCGTCGTCTCTGGGTCTTCTTCTTTGGTTACTCCACTCCGATATGCCGATATGCCGATGATGAGTAATCCCGAGATGTGGCTGTGGCACTGGGCACTAGAACTCGCACTCTTGTAGTAGCTGGAGAGTGTAAACTACACTACACTACACTCCCGTACTTTGTACTTGCTTTTGTTTAGCAATCTATAGCTCTTTAGCCGGATGGATGATTTTGTTAGCCATAAAACCCGCGACGAAACAACAAAAATGATCGAAATCTACCTGACGCGCGCCATAAAACTAAAGACAAACAGACGGCATACGGGGGGACTCGTAGTGTAAGTTGCTTTGTTTGTTGTCGGTGGTATGTATTTTTATAGCGCGGTTGCTTCGATTCTGTCTACGCGCCCGCGTTCGTTCGTTCGGTATCGTTTTGTTTTCTCCGAGAGGTAGCTCCGCACACGTCCGCCTCGGTTCACGTTTCCAAGTAAAATAACCCAAAACCCAACTAGTACTACTGAACGACGTTGAAAACAAGTATTTGTTTGAACCACTGCACAGTGGGTACAAATGTCTTTGTGCTACGATGAATGTGATATATGATGGTACGAGTATGCACTTCGAGTTCCGTTTGCAAGACCTAAATATGCCCTAGTGCCTAGCATTTATCTATGATCTATATTCTATTCACAGCTATCATGGTGGTATTCCTCTAGACATGACTGGAATTTATATATTTATATGAGAATAAGGATCTCATTTTCCTCCGTCCCTTTCTAAATAGGCCCATATGTAATTTTATATTTTATTCTAAGTAAATTGAATTTCATTATATTTAAAAATGCATCGACACTAGCATCGATTTTTGAACCACGGTTGCTGCTGTAACAAGTCGGAACGAGATAAATGCACACAGACAGTCGAATGCAGTTTGTTGACAGCACACATACAAATGCAATTTTGCTTGCATGGTTGCCGGCATGGTATAACCATAAAAGGTATGACATCTCCTGCTCCTTGTTAGGGTTGTTGAGGGTGTGTTTTTTGTGGGTGAGTAGCAAAAACCTTATTCCCATTAGAGTGCACGATGGCTACATGTGGTACCAAAAAAAGAGGGGGTAAAGTGTTTGTACCTTCTATAGTTGTACCATGGCTGCCGGCACGAAACGAACTTTGGCAACATTCCCCACTGCTCGGCAGCATGTTGACAGCAACCCCACTTTTGTTGCTAGAGTTTGTTGTTGCCGGCTTTTTGGCTGTGCCGGCTGCTGTATCTGTCTCCCCTCCCACACCCAATAAATTGCAGGGTAGTTTTACTGTTTTTATACCCCTCAAACTCTGGCTGTCCGCAAGGGTATATCCCGTGGGTGAGAGTGTGGGAAGATTGTTTTTCGTGCGTAAATATATTTACCAGCGGAAATGGATACGACTAAAGGCGCTTGCAATATTTTAAATGCTTCATCTTTAATTTATCAACAATTTCATTAGTAGACCTTCAGGCATTCCCTTATCTTATCTTAAATTATCGCTGTGCCTTCCTTTGAATCGAAATATGCATCTTGAAAATTAGTATCTTTAGATCTCCTTAGAGTATAAAAACAGTCGAGTCTTGATTCGCACTTTATCAAAGTGGTTATCCAAGCTATGCTATGTCCGTTTTGTATTTACTTTCAACGAGCACAATGCTCCTATTTGTATTTCCCCGGACTTGCCTCCCTGCCACCAACGCCACTCCTCCTCCAACGCCTGCCTGGCGCTAAATATTTGATGAAGCTGCATAGGACAGACACACCGACGGAAAGATACAGATGAAAATAAGCACTCAGCTAAACAGAGATACAGATATGCCGAGAGATATGTACAGACAAGTTGTCTGCCAGCTAACTTGCTAGCTTTTCCGCTTTTCATTTGCCAAATGCAAAATGCAAAATGGCTGTTGGATGCTCATCTGTTCAAGCCGAGACATGTTTGTTCAGAACTGTCATCTCAGCGGGATAGATGATTGTCTTTTTACCTCTTATCATTTGCCTCATTTTCACTTGAGAATCTATTCCGTTTTCATTCTATTTGTACTGACCTTTCCCGTAGTATTTGTCGCTCCAGTCCGTCCATGTTGTTGACTCTGCAGCTGGGACTGCCGGCGTTTATCTTATCCGAGGAGACGTCATCGTCGCCGGATGATGATAGCCCCGACACCGCCTAGCCTCTGCCTCCTCTTGTGGCAAACATACATATGTATTCGTATGCATGTTGTTTCTGCCGTTGCTGTCGTGTTTGTTGTTGTTGTTGTGGGGCACATGTCTTTGCATTTCCATTTACATTTGCATTTTCAACAATTGTCAATTGCGGAGGACGCACTGCAGCAACGCCATCCATCCATCCAGCCAGCCAGCCAGCCAGCCAGGGACATTTGCATATGTAAGAGTGTGATGAGAGTACGTAACATTTGTCTGCAATCCGACAAGCTCACTTTGATGCCGTCAAAGCCGCCTCTACCGCCTCCAAGTCCCTCCTGTCGTCGGGTCCCAACAACAACATGAACCAACAAGAGATAAAACTATTCTTCAGGACCAGACGCTTTTGATACTCTTCCTGATTGGTCTGGATTCCTATGACAAATATGAGAAATATTCGCTCGTATATTAGTGCCGATTTTGTTGGTTCCAATCTGTACACCGAGTGAAATGGTCTATTTTAGCCAGCTTTAAAAGATGGCCATCTGGTCACAATCCTAATACCCTCTGCAAGGGTAGTACAACAACTACAAAAACTTGGCAAAGCTTATGTACAGACATACATATGTACGTCTGGCTTTTGTTTGCCTTAATGGTTGGTATACAATTTGCATAAAACTCAGTTTTTCCTCTCCAAAAACAAACCAAATTTATTTTAAAAGCAACTTTATTTCAGGCAGACACCATGCCTGAGAAACGAGACCCCGGGACCAGGCCAGGTGACCAACCTGCTTTAGGGCTTACCAACCAGAGGGAGGGCTCTCTTGCTGGCAGTGTCATCGCCTCCTTAAAAGTCATTAAAAATTTGGAATCCAGCCTGCTCTTCGGGGGAGTCGGATGGTGCACAGCGGATGCAGCCTCTTGCATATTCATGGGCAACCAGAGAGAGAGGACAGTGCTCATCACCTCTTCATTCATTCCACTGGCAAAAGTGGTACCCGGAGGACAGATGACCCCGTGCGTCCTCTACAGAACTTTAAATGCATTTAAAACATTAAATACGGAGCGTTGGTAAACAGGATGCAGTGCAGCAGACAGCAGGCAACAGGAAGTGGCAGAGGTGTGATCCAGAGAGTTGGGTTTTTCCCACTTGACTCCACGTAACGCCCCAAACTCTGCTCAGATCCAATGTTTATTTTACGTTTTAGGAGAATGAATGTTTACTGTAAGTGGGAATACAAATATCGGTACAGTTTTGTTGTAGATTTACATGCCAATTGTTTTAGAAACCATTATACATTTCTTGTTTCACCATTCTTATCCACACTACATTACAATTTCAAAATATTAAACCATGTCGCGGACATCTCAGAAGAAGAACGTGCTGATGGTCTGCGTGGGTGCGTAGAGCATATCCCTGAAAGAATCCATTAATTAAAATGCAAATGCAATGCACACGCAGGAAACATTTGCCGCTCCCTCATCGCCGAGGCTGTGATGCGTGACTTGATTGCCAGGGCGGGGGTGTAGAAGGATTGGCATGTAGAGAGCGCCGCGACAGAGGGTTGGCACCACGGCTCCGAGCCGGACGAGAGTCTGGTCAGTCACAATATCGAGTGCACCAGCGTGGCTGATTCGACTATATCTTGGGCATGGATCGAAGCAATATGGCTTCCCACAAACGTCTGGCCCAACGCCAAGATTCTTCTTTGTGGACATTTCGGCCTGAAGCAGACGAGCGTTGCATCGAGGATGCAATTATATAGATTACAATTATAAAGATTTCCAGCTTTTGGACACGGCTCCATTTGAAAAGATATACAAAAAGTTAACCATTGAATAAAATCATTGAAATCAACATCAAACGAATTCAAATTTGGAGCCAATTTCAAATGAACTTAGAACCTGAATCATTTGGATTAAACAGCTAAATCAATTCAGCAATCAAAAAGGTTATGGTATATTTGATCTAATTTAAAAATAAGGTCGATTTTCTATAAGCATATAAAAATCGAGGAATATGGTTTCCAATCCTTGACGGAGAACGATTAACCCATTGTATACCAAGGGGGTATTTTTATATCCCACCGAAAACAATGAAAATTTAATAATTTTAACGCAGTTCAGGTAAAAGACATCGTGTTTTTTGTAAGTAAAGAGATAGATAGTATGGATCTACAATAAGAATTTACAAACGACAATATTTTCCGCGGTTCAGCTCAAGTAGTTCACCTGTTTAAAAGTTGGGGGGTCACGCGGGTTAATCGACAGCCGGCACGTGTAACATTTGTAAACAACGATGGTGCAGAAAATTCTAATGATTTGTTTGGGTAAATAATACGCTTCTAATAGGAACGTTGATGTAATTTACGAGCTTTCCGTGTGCAGGGAACATCTGCCGCTCCCCAATTGCGGAGGTGGTGATGGTGGACACCTTGGAAAAGGCGAACAAGAAGAATGTTGTGGTTGACAGTGCAGCGATTGGGTCGTGGCATGTGGGCAATCGGGCAGATCCCCGGGCCATCAGCACGTTGGCGCAGCATGACCTCAAGTGCACCCATATTGTGCGACAGATCAAGAAGCAGGACTTTGCCGAATTCGACTTCATTTTCGGCATGGACGAGGACAACATGAGCGAACTGCGACGGCTGGCGCCCAAGGGTTCGAAGGCGGAGCTGCTCATGCTGGGTGACTTCGGACTGGACGCCAAGAACCGCATCATTGAGGATCCCTATTATGTAAGTCGGTTAGCTGCAATCAAAGATTTATGACTTACCCTTGAATTGTCCTCTTTGACCTTGCAGGAAAGTGGAGCTGCTGGCTTTGAGACCGCCTACCAGCAGTGTGTTGTGGCCTGCGCCGCCTTCATGAAGGAACGTCTGGCCTAAATGGATTTTGTGATATACTCATAGTTGAAGTAATAAATGTCTGGTACAATGCGCGAACTGGTTTTATTATACCCTTGAAGAGGGTAGTATAAAATTGGGCAAAAGTTGGTGACCCATCCCCGACCCACAAATTATATATAGTATATTCCCCGATCATATTTTTAGCTGGGTGTTCGAAAAAAGTCGACTTATTGATGGTCTAACTTTAAGAGTATCTGATATTCGGCACGCCGAAGATAGATTGTGAAATTCTGAAATGAGTCAGCGCACTAATCGTCGGAACCTGCAGTTCGTATTATCTCCGCCACGATGAAGGTTCTGTTCGTGTGCATAGGTAAGCAAATGTACATAAAACAATCAAATGCATATTAATTTAATTTTAAATTGTGCATCTAAGGCAACACCTGTCGCTCGCCCATGGCGGAAGCTGTCCTGAACCATTTGATAGTGAAACATCAACTGGAGGACTGGCATACGGACAGTGCGGGCCTCAGGGATTGGAATGTAGGCATAGAGGCTCAGGGACGTGGCCAAGAACTGCTAAAGCAACATGGTCTGAAGACAACACACTTGGGTCGAATGGTAAGCGGATTGTAAGGTACTTAAATACGTATTACACAATTATCTGTAATGTTTTATCATTACTTTTCAGATAACGTCGCAAGACTTCTACGAATTTGATTACGTTCTTGGCATGGACAACAGCAACCTGTCGGAGCTTCGCCAATTGGCAGCAAGGCTAGAGCCTCCACCTCAGTGTAAGATAATGCTGCTGGGCAGCTTTCTGGGCCGCAAGGAAGATGAGATCATTCCGGATCCATACTTTGTAATTAACACCAAGAAAGCATTTGAATATTGTACTAAGATTGTGTCTCGTATCTTTTCACAGACACAAGGCATGGCTGGCTTTCATGCTGCCTATTTGCAGATCCAGGAGAGCTGCGAACGATTTGTCCAGCAGCACACAAGAAAAGAGAAGGATCTGTTGGCGGGCTCTCCATAAAGTCAGTCGGTTCCCCCATACAATGAGTTATTTTCAGAGGCTTGGATGGATTAAAAAATCGATGCTTTACACATAAATATCCAAGAGTATTTTTTAGTTATTTTGTTATTTAATTATTATTTTGTAGTTTAATGGCAAGATCTGCAATTAGAAGACACTGCCCTGCAGCACTTTGTCAATAAATCGCGACCATGTCAGCTCTAAGATTTGGTAGGCTCGCTTTTGTTCCTCCTCTGTGAGCAGGGAGTATCGCACCGAGTTCCACACAAGACTTTTGAGCACTCGCAGTCCAGCATTATTGGGAGCGAGGCTCATGATGGCATAGTAGAAGTCGTAGCTCAATCCCTTGGCATTCCAGAAACCAGGATCATCGTTGCATATCACTAGCGGGACGTCCAGCGCCATGTACTGGGCACCCGGATGGTTGCGCATATCCCATACCAAGTGCAGCACCTGATTCGAGATGGGGCTCACCTCCACGGCTATCTGGCGAGTCTTGACCGCGTTGAGGAGGATCGGATGCTTGGCTAACGCATAACCATGGCCGATTCGGGTGCTATTGAGAAGTAGTGCATCGAGCAGATTGATGTCCGTTGAGGCCCCAAACCAATCTGAAACGAGGCATATCTTAGCTTGATGACCTCATGTCAGCTCCTTCGATCCACTCACTGGTCTCTCCCGCGTGCAGGAAGAAGTGTGCTGTGGGCGGCAAGTCCCTCAAGGCAGGCAATAGAGCATACAACGGCTTGCCGTTGTCCTCCTGTCCCACCAGATCGAAGCCAACCACAAAATTGGGAAAAGCTTTGCTATAAAGCAGGGCAAGATCAGTGGGAACCTCCTTTCGAAGCTGATTTGTACTTACTGCAATTGCCGGAACTCCTCAAAACTTTCACTTATTTTATCGACATCATGTCCGCGATAGACGGCATAGATGAGTTTGATGCCCAGGAAGTCTGGATGCAGGCGTACGAATTTCTCGTTTAGAGCATAGAACTCCTGTATAGTTCGCTCCCGCGAAAAGGTCCGTCCACTGGCGTCGTACAGCTGCTGGGAGTGGTAAAGAGTTTAGTTTAAGTATTGATAATAGTCATTTGATGAACTAAAGGACTCGAAATGATCACAAACTATATCTTTAAAAAAAAGCCCTTTACCGGTTTGAAGCTGCTACGAATCTCCGCGTACATGACATTGTCGTTGTAGAGCTCCTCGAGCATCTGCCAGTGATAGGCTCGAAAGGCTGGCAAGTATCTAATGGCGTCCCCGAAAGTGTCAAACATGTCTTGAAAGCGATCCCACACTTTGGTGATCGTAGGGTACTCCACTGAAAGAGTGATATCTCTGATGAGGGTTTCTAAAGAAGTTTTCCCGAAAACTTACGCTCCGGAACCGGTGTGTACAGATTGATGAGACGCTCAAAATTCTGATCATAGACCAGTGGATCAATGGAACTCCGCCTCTCATCGGAGACACGCACATACTGCGACTGGCACTCGTGCTCCTTGGGAGCTCGTCGGAACGTTAGGACACTCCGACCCTTATCAGTGGTGCAGCGGAGCATACCGGGCATGTATGACATGTTTTTCACCACCCACTTGGAGCTCACCGAGGCAGAGTTATGCAGGTGGAGCACAGCTCCCTTGGGCATCTTCTGCAGGAAGCGGAAGACTCCGCTCCGGTCAATCAGCTGCTTGGCCTTGAAGAAGTGCATGGCCGCGGCATTTTGCTCGGCATTGCGGAAGCCCTGCGCCAGCTCACCCAGCTTGTACTGCATGAAAATGTCGTCCGCCTTGGCCTCCTCGGTGTTGAGATACGTATGGCCGCCCGTCATCAGCTCCTCCTCTGCCGTGAGCACCGCCTGGCGCGCCTGCTCGTAGCCTGGGAGCGAGAATAGAAAGGGTTTAAGCTGTGGACAGGCCCGATCGAATGGAAGACGCTCATACTTAGCGCACTCTCCGTTTGGGCCATCAAGTGCGGCACCAGGAGTAGTAGCAGCACCGAAAATCGCTTCATAATGGGGCAGGACTTTCTCGACATTTCGTGTACTTTAACCTAGATAATGAGTACACTATGCAAATATTGACTTGAGTCGGACACGTTGACTTTGTTTGCTTTTGGGGTTTGGTTTGGTTTGATTTCGGATTTCTTTTCTTTCTCCGCGCCACACGCCCGTTCGGTAGCAGTGCCCGTTCTGAACTGCGAGTATCAAGACCCAGGCCGGGTACTGAAAATTGCCAAAAATGCAATAAAAAAATAACTATAATTTCTACACTTTGTAATCATTCTAGGAAGCCCCCCACCCTTACATTGGGGGTCTGCAATCACCTCATTAAAAGATAAACCTGGAATGAATCCAGACCCAGAGTGGGAGCTGGTGGTGAGGCTCTTAACGGTTGACAACGCACTCGCTCTCGGAATTGCCGAAAACAATTTAGTTCTGCGATGGCTTGTGATTTTTGTTGTTTTTTTTTTTTGTCGGATAGTACACCTCCCGTGAATATTAAGTGATTCAAAATGACGACGGCGCGCGCCCATCGCTCGCTGATATTTTTTCTATTTTGGCAAATTTTCACTGACGTTTGCGGACGCGCTTGTTGGTTTCTAGTCCCATACGGCATTGGAATTACAAGTTCTAGCTCTAGCTCCCGTGGCCCCGCTGGGCGTGTTTTTGGGGGGTGGCGAGGCGTTGCTAGGTACTCGGCATTTACGGTAATTGCAGATGCCACAATTATCCCCGGTTACAGCCAAAAAAAGGTGAGCACTTATTCTTCTGTTGGAAGCCCATGAATTGGGCTTGTAATGTTTATTTATTTTCCGATTAGTAATTGTAGAGTGAATAAAACATGTGCCGTCAAGCGAATTTCGGAGTAAAGAACTATAACTTTAATAGAATAGTTCTTAATTGTAGTAAGACCAAGAGCAAGAGCAACCTAAACGGACCAGGACTTGACTTTCATTTTCCCTTGACGGTTTTAGCTCCTCTGGCTGACTATGCCGCGGCCCTCCTCCAGACAAAGCACAGTATAAGCTTCGATGGAAATGAAGATATAAATCAATGTTAAGTTATAGATAGAAATAACTTAAAGCCACTGGAACGTCAAATGTAAAAATGTGGATTCATTTAATTAAATTCATGATATATAGTAATATAATTTAATATAAATTTATTATAGTGCCAATAATAATGAGAATTATTTTTAGTCCTTTATCCTTAATCAAAGAGGTGTTTCTAACAGAGGTTTTTTTTTGTGTATTCTGTTTTCCATCTAATAAAATAAAACCATCCAAATCGGAGTATATAACAAGTTAAGGATCATTATGAAATAGCTGTCAAGTTCTTAAAACCATTGCATGCTTTCAGGCTGACATATGGAATGTATTTGCCCAGGGTACCAGCTGTAAAGGAAGGTCTTAATACCAACTGTACCCATTTGATACAGATTTGTGTAATTTGGTTGATCAGAGAAAGCAGAGAAACAGGCTGATTCAAAGCCCATAACCCTGAGAGACATTCTCTTGGCCAGAGAACTTTCCATCATGATGGACAGCAGACACCCCCTCTCATAGTCAATGTCAAGCATCATTTTAGTGAATCAACATAACAAATTGGGCAAGTAAACAGTACGCAAAAAAATTACCATACACTCAATGTGCTTGCAGAGAAAAACAAAGCACCGCTGATAAAGCATAGCCAGAGGGCATATGCGATCTCAGTGATGCCCTACACGCACAGGGCTTTAATTTGAATGGAATTCATTGTGCAATGATTGAGACTTACAGAACCTTAAAGATCCAGCCTCTTGTTGTAGGTGGGGTAGGGTATTGGTGTGATGGTGACGATGCGGTCATGAAATCTATGTGCAAATTACCCCACGCCAGGCCAGGGCTAGTGCCAGGCGGGAAAGAACGTTCCAAACATTTTGCAGCCTGTAGTATCCCATCAGAGTGACATTGAACTGCAGCTGGAAAGCTGCAAAGCACCAAAGCGAACAAGATCATGAACAGAATATATATTGTGGAGAGTGTGGAAATTGCACAAAAAACAGTGCGACAAATAATATGGGTCAGCCAGCAGGGGCTTTATCAGTTGGCTGGCAAACGCCGAGCGACGAACATCTAATAAGTACAAATACGGCGTATATTTTTGTGAACTGTGAACTGGGAAGCGATGCTGCTGGGACTGCTGCTGTGCCTGGTGCCGCCCCTCCTGGGGGGACTGCATGCCGCGGACTTACGTAAGTTCCGTCCGATTGTCGGTTCAACAGCATCAACAATCAAAAGCGATATACCTAATATTGAGGGGACCCGTATTGGATTTCGCAGCTTACGAGACTCTGAGGGAGCAGATCATGGAGGCGGAGCGTCTGGCCTCGCTGGGTGGCAACATCTGGCTCACTTCGGACGAGGAGAAAGCCAACAGCATACTGATGAACGCCAAGCGTGCAGAGATTGCCGAGGGCATTAAGACGCCGGAGAAGTATCCCCCGGCCATGCATTTCTTCCAGGGCAGGCAGTACGTGCGACAGAGCGAGGTGTTCCGATTCATACAGAAGATGCCGAAGGGCGCCTTCCTGCACGGCCACAACACGGGCATGGTCACCTCCAAGTGGGTGATCGGCAACCTGACCACCACCAACAATCTGTACACGTGCCGCAATGTGGACGGGCTGCTCGTCTTCACCTACGACCAGAGCGGCTGCCACAGCGAGGTGCAGAATGTATGCACGGAGCGCATCAACGCTGAGGATCGCGGAAAGTACGAGCGGCAGCTCGAGAAGCACATAAACATGCACCGCCAGAAGCCAGAAGGTGGAGTACCCCACACCCATCCCTTCCTTTCAAGCTTTAAATCGATACATTCTCTCCTTCAATCCCCAGCACTCTTGTCCCAACGCAAAAAGATCTGGGAACGCTTTGAGAATATCTTTACGACTGTCGATCGGCTCTATAAGTACAGACCCTCCTACTGCGCCTTCCACAAGCGACTGCTGGAGGAGCTCTGCGAGGACAACATCATCTACGCGGAGGTCCGAGCCTCCCTGTCGCCTGTGAGTATTCTTCAGTCTTCTGCCATTCATGTAATCTTTATGACCCGTTTGTCAGCTGTACGACGACAACAATCGCACCCTGAGCACACTGGAGGTGGCCAACGAATTGGAACGTATCGTGGAGGAGTTCAAGGCGAAGCATCACGACTTTGTCGGCCTCAAGGTGATCTATGCCAAGCGGAATCGGGCCACCGAGGAGGAGATGAGCAGACGCATCACAACCTTCAAGCAGCTGCAGTAAGTCGAAGAAAACCAGAGGGGAATCGGATAAAAACCTAACTCTGGCTCTCCTGCAGCCATGCAAAACCGAATTTTGTGATAGGATTCGATTTGATTGGACAGGAGGACACGGGTGATCCGCTCAGCAAATACGTGAACGAGTTGTCCGACCTGCCCAGCACGGCAAACTACTTCTTCCACGCGGGCGAGACAAGTGAGCATTTGGATACACAGGATACGATCCCTTTAAGTAATACTTTTGCCCACAGATTGGCATGGTCGCACTGACTGGAACATGATGGATGCCATTCTGCTGGGCTCGAAGCGCATTGGACACGCGTTTGCCCTGCCCAAGCATCCGCAGCTGTGGTCTACGATCAAGAAGCGAGACATTGCCATCGAAGTGAATCCCATATCCAATCAGGTGCTGGGCTTTGTCTGGGATCTGCGCAATCATCCGGCCAGCTTCCTGATTGCCCAGAACTTTCCCATTGTGATCTCATCCGATGATCCCGGGATGTGGGGTGCCAAGGGCCTCAGCTACGACTTCTACTATGCCTTCATGGCCATGGCCCCTGCCGAGGCGGACCTGCGCTTCCTCAAGCAGCTGGCTCTCAACTCCATCAAGTATGCGGTGCTCACCTCAGACGAACGGCGCAAGATCAATCGGATCTTTCAGCGGAAGTGGCAAGAGTTTATTGCCAATGTCTTGAATCCAAAGTTCTAATCTAATACACAAAACTCAGACTAAGAGTGATATATTCATGCGTACTTCTGGGCCTAGTTCACGCTCGGTGCATACCATCCGTGCAGGCACTTAGGCACTGGTCCGCTCGTGTGGAAGTCGCAGCGTCCCAGCTCTGTCATCGTTTTGGCGCAGAGCACTATTAGACCCACATAGTGATCGTTGAGACCACCGCCCAAGACCATTGATGCCAGGATGATGCCATCGTCCTCGCTCTTTGGCTGCGGCGAAGGCACAAAGATGGGCTCGCTCGGGTAGACATTGTCCTCGCACCAACTAAGACTCGTCTTCGTCCACACGTCCACTTTAAGAAGCTGCAACGGAGGATTGAGTGAGGATTCTTCATGGATGACATGGGATACGATACTCACAGTGCCTGGATTGGGTGCATCCACATCGGAGCTAATGGCGTAGAAGTAGCGATAGTTCTTCCCGTTGTAGATGTCATAGTTGATACGGGGCGTCTCACAGCCCCAGTCGCAGAGCATTTCGGGACGCAAGAATATGCCACTCGGGTCTTGGTAGGCTTCCGCTCTACTGTTCTTTAGGGTCACCAGATTGATGCCGTCCTCCACCTCGTAGCGGCCTCGCTTGAGCTCTCTCTGAGGTGCCTCTTCGGTGGAGTCCTCTCTCTTGCCATTGGTGGGCATATAGGTAATGTCCGCGTACTGGGAGGCGGAATGCTTCATCGTTTTCAAGGGCTGCGCAGTGCTCAAGCCCGACAAGGAGAAGGACTTTATGAGCCCCCGTCTGCTGGACCCGGACTTCGTGTCATGGGTGTGTACTTTGGCCCCCAGGGGAAGTACAAACCTCAGGGGCCGACCGCGGAAGAGGGTGGCGTAGTTGGGATTGGTCTGCATGTTGGCAATGGCCTCCAGGTACATGCAGTTGATCATCTCGGGATTCTTGTAGCTGCAAATGTCCACCACCACGTGGCCATCTTGCTCGAAGCAGTTAATGATGTGCAGATAGAAGAAGGCCTCCGACTCGTAGGACTGGACCAGCTTCCCGCTGGTACGCTCGATCAGGTGGAAGAGCGTCGGCCTGTCCTCGAACCACTTCAGACAGGCGGAGAGATTCTGGTTGGACAACTGGGCCTTGATGTACTCCGTGAGGGACACGGACAGCGGCTGTTCCACAATAACGAAATAGTTATCGGTCAGGCCGAAGGTGTGCATGTAGCCCGGATGGAGTTTCCAGCGGCATGGCAGCGTGGCCACCACGTGAGCATCCTCGAACATGTGCTGGCCCTTGGGGAAGCAGATGATCGTATAGGCCGGACCGGACTTGGTCATCGCTGTGCCCAGGTTGTAGACTGTTCCGCTGGGCAGGACATGCGGATGCGAGGTGTGATTGACCACGCCCACATAGTCGCTAATGCAGATCCGTCCCTCTGTGGCCAGAGTGCAGGGATTGATGCTGTAGTTGGGATGGTCTCAGAGAATTACAAGAGAAGTGGATAAGATATATGTAGCTACCGATGCATAAAGGGTGTCTCGGTGAAGGTGTAGTATTCGTCGCCGAACGGATAGATAGAGATCATCGAGTTGTCCGTGCCATTATCCGGCCGGAAGATGGCCGCGAACTTGTCGAAGATCGAATGACAGGGATCCGGCACCGCTGCGGTGCCAAACTCCGTGACGACAATCCTCTGAGCCGACCGATTCTTGCGCAGTGTCTCCGTGTCCACGAAGCGGCTCTGATAGGTCACGCGGCCATTCCGTATGGCGAATCGATGCAGCAGCGCCGAGCAGTCGAAGAGGTGGCCAAAACGCATTTCGCCCACCTTCCAGCTGCCGGGACCGTTGCGCAGGAGGCTGCCGTTGACCCACTTCGGTATATGGCCGCTGCTGTGGCCCTCAAGAGGATCCACAATCTCCCGCTCGCAGGAGCGCAGCCAGACATCCGAGGAGCAGTTGGGATAATACCGACCACTGCCATCCAGCCGCTGCGCCTCGGGATCGTGCTGCTTGTCATCGTATTTGACCTGTGGGAGGAGGGGTGTTGAAGCTATTGATTGCCATGATTGGGTACCCTAATCCAAAAGAATTTTTGCCGTGGATTAATGTGGATTATTCTGTCGGCTGGCGCTTTTCCCACATTCCATGCATTCAGTACATATCCCCCCACCAGCTGTGAGCTTTCTCAAGGAAGGTCTCTTTTATTAGCTTAAGCTCAAGCTCAGGCAGTGGAAAGTAAAATCAATCTAGCTATCATTTTAAATTCTGACAAACACTCGTTTAGGTAACTTTTCGGAATCCTTTTGCCAAATTTGAAAAAATTCTTTCGTTACTAATTTTGAATATCGCGTAGTGACCAATCGACTGACCGCGAAGATATCCCGCATAAAGCTCTTGAAGACCCCAGCCGCCATTGCCACAAACGGAAGTCTGTCCGGGTGAGTGTAAGAGGTAAACGGTCCTCGGCTGATGCAATTTCAATCCAAACCACACAAATCCACGTGGGCCAACTGAGTGCCGTTCCGTTCTGTTCCGTTCCGCTTGCAATGAAAACCAAATGACAACTGGCAAATGGCAAGTGCTCCCAAGCGCTCGCACCTAGTCGCCGCCCAGCGTAGCCGCAGGGATGGCTTATGAGGGTGGCGGCAACCAATTGGAGGCAACTGACCCTACGCCATGTGCCAGCGTTATTCATAATTTTGATTGACAGTCGACGTATGTAGTTAGCGTCGTTTGTTGGCTACACCAGACCCCCTCCCATGCCACATACAAGTGAGGAAGGCAAATGCTGGGGCTCAGCATTTTTGCCGCTTCGTCGGACTCGCTGGAGGCGAGTGGCGTAGGTGTGCATTGGCTACAAACACCAACATTTTGCACCGGGCGTAGAGCAGCTAGGAAATCCAACACCACACCCCTGACGGACCGACTGACTGACAGACTGGCAGACTGACTGACTGACTTCTGTGGCTGACCTTGGCTGCTACAATGTATCTCGTATCTCCCCACAGAGGAAGCCCCAGCGGAGCAAGACCAAAGCAAACCTAACCCAAGAAGATGAAGTAAGTACAACCGAATTAAGCGACTTAACCCTAAGCCTTTAAGCGGCTTGCGGCCTGCACACACACATTATGCATAGCTTTAAGTTCATGATCAAATCAATTACTCGGCCTATTTGGAATAATCTAGAATCATAAGCTGGGGGAGAACAGGTGCAGCTTTCTCGAGCATTGCCCTAAATCGGGCTTCTTAAATTGATTTTAATTTCTGCAGCTGTGTCTTGCATTTTTGAATCTATTATATGTAATAGGGATTTCGTTTCCAATTAAATTTTGCCTTTTGCAATGTAAACCTAAGATTTGGAAGTTTTTAACGTAATGAGGTAAATTTGAGGCGTAGCCAGTGCCCCCTTTCGTAACCGAATATATGGCGTTGATATGTAGTTTTTTGCAATTACTTTAATCTAAAACAACAGAATATCTCGATTCAAATTTGAATCTTCATTGTCCGTTACAATTCAATAGTCACTAGATCAGTGTTGTAAAACACACAAATGGTGCATCGAACAGCTGAGTCGTGAAAAATAAAAACAAACGACGCAAAATATTGGACATAATTAGAATTTGAGGGCAATTGAATGACTGTTTGACACCTTTTCCCTCTACCTGTGCCCGCCCAGCTACAGTAACGTGGAAGACACTGCCGCCTTGTACGCATTCAACAACTTGCCCAAGGAATGTAATACTTCGCCATCCAACGGCGGCTACGATTTTGACGACTGCTCCTGGTTCACTTTCTTCGGCAATCCCAACGATATGAGCGAAGACTCTTTGCCCAGTAATGACCATAGAAGTGGATCCACCAGCAGAATTCCACGATGTGCCCAACGACCACGCCAAATGGCTTCGGCCAATCGATTCCATCAAATGGCTGCGTCGCCACGGCCATCTCCCCGGCCAAACTACTCTTTCCAGCCGGTATTCCACGAGCGTACAACCCATGAGGACGATACAGTATTAACCCAGGAGCTGTGGAAGCTGGCGCGCAAGTCAGGCACCCTGAATCTGTCGAACAAGGGACTAGCCAGTGGTAAGTAAACCCCTTGCCATGCAGTGCAGTGCACCCATGTGTAGCTTCAATGTTAGGCAGGAATGCAGTGGTGTCGCAGCAGAAATTGCAAAACTGGAGGTCAAAGGTGAGGCCTCGCGCCGGGGAGCCACCCATGGAGCAGCAGTATAATCATCAATCGATGTACACCGGTCTCGTCGACAGCAGTGCATTATGGTTTCAGTTCATGTGAGACGATCGCGATCTCGAACTTGGCCTTGCCGGCCCCTAAAAGGAGTCGGGAACATTTGCCGCTTCACTAGGTAGCGTCAGCGCCAGCGCCTGCAGTCATGTCATAAAGGTGTTCCAGACGTGTGCCAGTCATCGTTTAGTTTGCGCAGCGTGCTGGCTGCTCTCGGATGTGCCCCAATCTATCCAAGTCAAAATCATCCATCAAAATTGCGTCCTCCAAGCCAACGCGAAAGAAGCAGCTCACTTCGTTCTGCATGTGTGCTCCGCACCCGCGGCGACGAAGCTACTACCAGATCCGTGAATTTCAAATGGCCTCCTCGGGCGATGAGCTGGAGAGCGAGGACCCCGACGATGAGCTGGAGCTGGAACTCGATCTGGATGAGCCAGCGCCGCAGCCCAGCGAAGATGCCTGTAGATTAGTGTACGCCATGCCACCAACAGCCCTCTAATTGATTCCATGATTTGTCTGTTTCAGTGCCCGATCGTCTCTACGACATCAACGAGGCCGATGCGGAGAGCAAGGCGGCCACTCTAGAGCAGCTATCGATCAAGGATGAGGATGCCTGGTGGAACCAAGTGCCATTGACTAATTTAGATCTGAGCTCCAACGCTTTATCGCACATATCTCCAAAGATTGAGAACCTGCAGTCGCTAACAGTCTTGATTGTATGTACAAATGCTGGCATCCTGAATCCCCATGCCCTAAACCTGACCCTCTTCTTTTAGCTCCATGACAACGCCCTGGTTGATCTGCCGGCGGAGATCGGTAAGCTGGAGAAGCTTATGCGTCTGAATGTGAGTCGCAACAAGCTCTGCGATTTGCCGCGAGAGCTGTACAGCCTGCCGGAGCTGCGGCATCTGAATATCAGCTATAATGAGTTCAGCGAACTCAATCCGGATATCAGTGATCTGCACATGCTGGAGTTTCTGGTGAGTGTAGAACCTCCCTTACGTTGAATCTGGTTGTGGTGTCTTATTAATTTATAAATCATTGTAATCGCCTTCTAACGACTCCTCTAATAACAAATACCAACTGCTTGTTAACCAAAATTCTAAACAAAAGGATGCCGGGCATAATAGCATAAAATCCTTGCCTGGCGGTATTGGTTTTCTGGTGCGATTGACAGCCCTCTTGTTGCCCTATAACCACATTAAGGATCTCCCACCTGATCTGGTTAACATGCGCTGTAAGTTGTGTGCCACCCCCCCTCAATAACAATGCTCGTCCTTCTATTAAATGTTGATACCCCTCGAAGCGCTCCAAAGGTTGGACCTGATGCAGAACGACCTCACCTGCTTGCCGGAGGACATGGGCCTGCTAAGGAAGCTCCAGTTCCTGTACATTCAACATAACGACATCCTGGAGCTGACCGACTTCGAAGGAAACGAGACACTGACCGAGCTGCATGCCAGCAACAATTATATATCGGTAAGAGGAGGGCGAATTACTAGTACTCTTTCCCAACGGATAATCACTGTAAAACCCTCCACGTAGAACATACCGGTAAGGATGTGCGAGAACTTGCCGCATCTGAAGGTACTCGACCTCCGGGACAATAAGATTACACAGCTGCCCGATGAGCTGTGCCTGCTGCGGAATCTCAACCGCTTGGACGTATCGAACAATAGCATCGACACGCTGCCTGTTAGCCTGGCGGCGCTGGCCCATTTGATTAGCCTGCAGGTGGAGGGCAATCCCATCAAGTCCATTCGACGTGACATCCTCCAGTGCGGAACTTCGCGCATCCTGAGGACTCTGCAGGAGCGTTCCATGGCCAAGAGCAAGGACGAGGGTGAATCCGATAGTGGCGCGGGAGCCCGCCTATGTGGTGGACAAGCGGGCAACGACACAGCCGCAAACTATCCCGACAGGTATGTACAGTAGACCCTGAGCCAAGCCAGACCAGCACATTGATCCACGCCGCAGCAGCTATCAGCCACAGCATCAGCAAAAGCACTTCGAATATCAGTTTCAATATCGGGCCCAGGCTCATATGCAACCGCAAGCCGAGCGCTTCAGAGTCTACGAGCCGCCGCACAACTGCCCGCCGTACTGTCGCCAGGGGCAGGAACACGTATACGATCAAGAGAACTATGAAACAGAGAAAAAATTTGACTATGCTGGCCACTATATGCAACGGCAGCAACATAACTTTCAATTCAATGGCTATTCAGCCATGTATCAACAACAGCAGCAACTATTCTACGGACAGTGCGTCGTCTGTCCGCGATGGGTGTAGTGTATCACGCTGTTCCGAGTTTTATATATAATATTCTTTTGCCCAAACGAATCGCAGAGGGAATAACTTGAGCTTGGTTTCTTTCATGCAGATACAAACTACGTCATACCCGAACATTGGCCGTCAATTTGGAGGAAATAACCGATGTGCCCGAGGAAGTCTTTCAATTGGCCCAGAAAGAAGGCGTGCATGTAGTGGATTTTGCCCGGAATCAGCTAAGAACCGTGCCCAACGGGTAGGTCACCACGTAGTCCCTATGGATATGCCTTTAACGAACGCCTCTTTCCTGTGCAGCTTGCAGCACATGCAGAATATTGTCACGGAACTGGTCCTCGCCCACAACCGCATTGGCCAAGTGCCGCAGTTCATCTCACAGTTCACGCGCATTACGTTACTGAATTTATCCAACAATCTGTTGACTGACCTGCCCAAGGAGTTTGGTGTCCTGAACACGCTACGCGAACTGAACATAGCCAATAATCGGTGGGTACAATGAGATCCTTGCTCAATTGAATCGTCCCATAAGTCTTGGTCACTGTTTCGCTTTCAGTTTTTCGTTTCTTCCCAGTGGTTTGTACGATTTGCAGGGTCTGGAGATACTCATTGCCAGCGATAATCACATCAATGAATTGAATGTCGCGGGGCTACAGCGCATGCCGCGCTTGTCTACATTGGATTTGCGCAACAACGACATTGATTTCATACCGCCAATATTGGGTACCCTGACCAACATAACGTAAGAACATTCGCTAGAAACATATAGCTTTATTTGATTCGATTTGTTTTCCCCACCCTTTTGCAGGCACTTGGAGCTGGTGGGAAATCCATTTCGTCAGCCACGCCATCAGATCCTGATGAAGGGCACCGAATCGATAATGTCGTATCTGCGGGATCGCGTACCCAGATAAAGCAAGATATCGCAATCTACACCTTTTGATTTGAGTTTTTCAGCCAATTTTCACTGGTATAGCGTTTTTTTTTTTTGGACAAACATAACCGATACTTTACCAATACTCCACCACGCCCACACACATCCATACTTAACTATAAGTCTGCCTGTGTGTGGACGAGGCGGAGATCGCGCAAGGAAGGTACCTTATAACATAGAAAGCATCCCGCATTTACCATCTACTCTACCAACTGAACTAGTCAGCGTTTGGCAACACACGGCGCACCACCCTGTTAAATTCTGGTTTAAAATTTTTAATTAGAAATAAAAAAACAAAAACTAATCTTTGTTAATGGATTAAGAGTGGTTATCCCTAGGGTTTTTATAGCATAGTTCGGTATATCTAAGGGGGAATCCAATCGCGTAGCCAGAAAATATAGCATTGCGATTGCCATTTTTTGAGCCAATTTATAGATTTATAATATTTATTTGGTGACAAGCGATATAGCCGATATTAATAGTGGAGGAAAGGAACGGTGCAAGGTACCCTATAACATGGAAAACATTCCGCATTTAAGCAAAGAAGTTTTTAGTTAAAAAAAAAAAAGAAAACCTTCCATTCGCTTAGTTATTCTCCACAACTTCACTGCGCAGTCGCTTGGCCAGGGTGCGGCGCAGCTGGAGTGCTGAATTTTCCTCGCTGTCTAGCGGCGCAGAGAGCTCCATGGTCTTGCCTCCGTTCTCGAGGAGCTGCTGTGCCACTTGAGCGGAACTGGGACGGGCGCCTTCGGCTCCCTGGGGACTGTCCCGGGCCATGGTCTCCTGCAGCTGCTTGGCGCGCGCTTGCTTCTTGATCTCCACGATTTTGTCGCGTTGCTGGCGCAGATACTCCTGACGCGACGTCACATCGGTGGGATCCACCCTGTCCTCCTGCTCGAAGAACAGATTCAAGCGCTGAAACTTGTCATTGACCAGATCAAGACTAGCCTCCTGGTCGGGGGTCAAGGCGGCTTCCGGGCTCTCCAGCTCATCGGCCACGGTTTTGGCTATGAGTTGATCCACATCGGCGGCTGCATCGCTGTGGTATAAGTATTCGTGAGACGGGGAACATTCATTCACATTCATTGCCCCAACCCACCCTTGATCCGAGCCCGTGGCGCTGTTGCTATCAGCCTCCTCCAGAGAGCTTTGGGCCAACTGGTTTTTCTCTATCAGATCCAAGGCCTGCAGCTGCAGCTCCACGTTGCGTTGCGTCATCATTCGTATGAAGATTTTTACATCATTGGCGGCCCATATCTAGAGATCGTTCATTAACGGGACGATGTGACGACGATTCCGTTGACCTACCTGCTGGAACAGGACCTGATGGAACTGGAAGGGATTCTCGCCCTGGCCCTGCTGGCGGCCCTCCAGGCAGGCCATTTCGAACTGTTCCGGGGATATTTGCATCTCCTCCATGAAGCTGCCCAGCATGTAGTCGACCAAGTTCTTGTATTCCTCGTGGATCTGTAGGATTTCCTCATTGTTCTCGTCTAACTGCAGATTGGGATCGAAGACTGCACCAAGGTCGAGATGCACGGAGGTTAGGAGATGACGTGGCCCAAGGTCCGGCTGTTCTTACCCAAGGATCTCTGCTCGATGAAGGTCTGCAGCGGTGCGTTCCAAACTGGTCCATGGAGGAAGCAAACCAACGAATCAAAAACCCAAGAGTCATCCACGGACATTTTCGATGAAAGTACTCGTAAGTTGTTGAAGTGGCTCTGGGATAACCACTAATGCCGTAATGCAAAAAGTTTAGAAACATTTGTTTGGTCCTTGAAAGGACGTCGCTACCATGACGACGCCCACGACCACCCGAGAGACCAACAACCAACGAGGGTTGCACATAAATGGACAATAAAAACGCTTGAGAGAGCTTCGACAATTGTTTTTCTGTTTAAAAACTATTAAAAACTATTATTTAATTTACTCATAATCATAATATAGTTATATATATCGGTTTTTACGCATTGATGTTTAAACAACTAAATAAAGTATCCAAATTATATATATGTAATGGGTATGTGTGTGTGTGTGTGGGTGTGTGTTTGTGTTTGTGTGTGTTAGGATTAGGGATTAGACGACGGCATATCATATGCATATACAATACACACGATTCATATAAATACTATGTATAAACTATAGTGTTGTTTGCTTTTTGTTAGTTTTCTTATTACTTTATGTTCCTTTCTTCTCTTTTCCCATTTTGTTTCGTATATTTTATTTATCTCTTGCTTGTTTTTATGTGTCCTCGCGCATCGTCTATGCGCATGTGTTCTGCATTTTGTTTTGTATTTCTTGCAGTTCAATCAATCAATCGAACAAAACCAACAACTTGGAAGGATATATGTATCTGTATCTGAATCTGTATCTGTTCTGTACTCCCCAGCTATATTATAGGGGTGCAAATGTGTCTGGGGTGTGGTGTGGGAGTTGGAGGGGAAACGATACGATCGGTTGGTGGCTCCAGGGAAAACGAAACCGTTTGCGGCGAGAGTTGCTTGTGGATTCTTAGTTGAAATTATGCACTTGTTTAAACACTAAAATAAATAAATGTAGTACAGTACGCACACGCACATGGCAGATACGATTATTAACAAATAACTTTATTACTTCTGGCGATCAAGGACGAAACGTCAGTCAGTGTCTGGGGATATGGTTTTTTTTGTGTGTGTTTTTTTCCGGATGTGAGTGAATCAGGATAGGGACCGAGGCTGAGGCTAGGGCTAGGGCTGTGACTCCGGTATGTGCCGCCTCCCTCTACATTCGTTTAATACAAATTATGTTTTATGCTATATTTAATATGAAAAAAACTTACATGGTTAACGTAAGAAGACTATTTTATTTGTATTTTTATTGTTATTTGTTGTTTGTTTGTTGGTTTGTTTCCCCCCACTTTTATAATTTACGTTCTATTTGTAATCATTATAATTAGTTACTTTTTCTTGCTGTCAATGATGTGTGTTTGCGTGTGTGTGTGTGTGGTTCGATAATGGTTCAAAGGTAACGCAACAATTGATTAATTACACAGTCAGACAACGCTCCTTCTTTCCTCCTACACGGATTCCTACAAAAGCGAGAGATTGTTTCTAGACAATTCCATCTTTCAATCTGCACGAAACCATCCTCAATTTCTAGTCTTACTGTAACTGCAACTGTTACTGTTACTGTTACTGTCGCGAGTGGTGCAAGAACAATTATCGTCTAATTCGATATAGAGGCTGACTAAATTATATACAAGGCTCATTGGGTCGAGAGTGGGCTGTTTGATGTGATACTAACTGAAGATATTAACAGAAATTGTCAAGCTGGCCGGGCCGGAGGGGGGGGGGAACTCTTGCTGGTATTTACAAAACAATTGCACGCTGTACGCGTATAGTCTTAATCGGAATATATATATATCTAAAAATGTATAGATTTAATTTCTCTGCTTTGCTTTGGGAATTAACACTTTTTTACAATTATATGTGCATATTTTTACTCTGCTTGAAAACATTACAGCGCTGTCTACAAGATCTGTATTACATCGTACTACAAGTCAGTGAGATAAGCCTCAGCCTCTGGGGGAGGCTGGACCTTGCCCCAAAGATTTGTTTACTGAAAGTGTCGTTGTTGCGTAGACAGCGCTTTAATATACAAAAGTATAAAACTGCGATTCGCAGGGATACCAGGCCTGTCCGATAGATAGGTTAGATTATAATGGAAATCAACTCTTAAAATATAACTACGATATAGGCAAAATACTATATAGCAATTGTCTTTAAAATACCACAAAAAATATTATCCAAATATTGCACAAAATTTTAGATTTCTCCACAACATTCCTGCCACCAGCCAACTTCACAGGATCTGTTAAAGGATCTTTTCTATTCTATCCACTCATTATCCATTATCCTTCTCCTTCTTCTTCTCTCTCTTCCTGCGTTGCGCGCACATGTGTTTGTGTTTGTGTGTGTATGTGTGTGTGTTGCAAGTGTCTCTGTTTTACTACTAAATACATGTTTATTTTGGTTTCTTCGTTAATGCTTTTCCAACTTTTCCAACTTTTTTCAAACAAAACGCACACAACAGAGCACGTAGCAAATTTCTGTAGGATGCCTCTGATCGCTGATCGGTGATCGGCTATGTGCGGCTGGACACACATACATAGTTAATTGTATTTTCATATGCATATATATTTGAATATATATGTATATACATATTCATATCTATATATATAGATATATATATGCTTGTTTCGTTATTAATTTAGTAAAGTAAGATTTATAATTTCTTGTTTTACTTTTAGGTGTTCGCTTTCCTTTAAAATAAATTTTTATGCTAAAATTTAACTTTATGTTTTCTTGTTCGATCTTACATCGTACCGCTATCTCCCGTCTCCCGTCCGCTGGCTGTCTGCCGTCTACTGTGCCTGTAGTTGCTGCAAAATGCATTACCAAGCTGGCTGACCACCGATAACCGAAGTCCCTCTGGTCGGCTCCTCCTTCCCCACGTTCCGTTCGTTGGTGTTGGTGTTGGTGTTGGTATTGGTTTGTGTGTGTGTGTTAGTGTGGGTGTGTAAGTGTGGGTTATGTGTGTACTAATTTATAATTGATGCCGCCCTGCTGCTCCGCATCTGTCAACTATGCCAGACGCGCGCGCTTTTGTGCTTGTGGCCCATCAGAGTCGTCCTCGTCCTCCTCGTCATCATCCTCCCCGGAGTCGCTCTCATAATCGACCAGGCCCTGTAAGCAGCGAAAAGGAGATGTTACAATATCCATAGTTTTTTTTAATCTATTTGGTTTTACCTTCTTGGTCGTCGACTTGTCCGTTTCGCTGTTCGCAGAGTCCGTGCTGGCGTCGATGCTGGACGCTACCAAATCCTTCTCCGTCACAGTCTGGCCGAGAAGTCCATCGAGCTCGCTTGTGGTGCCGGGAGTCGGCTGTGAGTCGGCGGGCTCAATGTCGGGATCGGCCACAGTTGGGGCTGGAGCCAGATTGGGGGCAGCCGATGTAGCTGCCGCTGTCACGGACGCTGCGATCGCGATCGTTAAAAACTGACTGGCCACCACCTGAGCTACTGTCGCCGAATCGCAATGAGAAGCAGCTGCCGACGTACTCGGCGGTGACGATGAGGACGATGACGCCGAAGATGACGTGGACGCTTCAAGCGATGATGATGACGACGATGATGATGATGAAGAGGCGTTTTCTGTGGGCGACGGCGAAAGCACCAACTCTTGATTCTGCGGCGTCTCCACACCGCTCAGCTGCTGGTGCAGTTCTGCGATCTCAGGCTGTGTCTGCTGTTGCTGGAATGGGTTCTGCTGCTGCTGTTGTTGCTGCTGCTGCTGTTGCTGTTGCTGCTGCTGTTGCTGCTGCTGCTGTTGGTGATGCTGCAGTGCAATGTTGGCAGCCGCGGCCAGATGTACTGTAGCCTGGGCCTGCTCATCGACAATGCCCGCCTCTGGGCTGCTGCTTCCACTGGCCACGGGAGCAACTGCTGCCGATACAGATGTGGCAGTGGCAGTGGCTGTTGCTGTGGCAGTGGCTGTCGCTGTGGAATTCAGATTACCCAGTAAACCGCTGTGGGGTGACGTACTGTGCGGCGGAGAAGACTTCTGCTGCGGTGATTGGTTTTGCGGGCCGTTCTTTTCGCTGACGGCTGAAATATTGCATTATGGATGGGGACATTTAATACCCAGGAGTATCTCCAGAGTGGGCAGGACGACTTACATTTGATTACATTGTTGTATGTATCGATTTCTTCAGTGAAATCATCCTCTTCATTGAACCACATCTCTTCCTCCTCTTCCATTTGACGCTGATCCCGACGAAACCGTCCACCACTGCGTATGATCGGCAGGCCACTAAATCGATTACACACCATACAGAAAATGAGTTAAACCATTTACGAAGAGTGAAATCAAGGCAAACACCTACCCATCTGTACGGTTTTCCATCTTGTCGCGATCCTTGAGCCGATCCTGGTACTGATCGTAGCGATTCTTTAAATATTTGAATGTCTGCACATATTCGATTTCATCAAATATCTTGCTAAAGTTCTCCACGAAATAAACGCACAATGTGCGGATATCCTCGAGTTTTATAAACTCAAACAACTCCAGGATGGCCGACTCCAACAGATTGTAGCGGCCATTGTTACGAATAAAGGCATCCACAACCGGCGCAAATAGATTGCACTTGACAATGTGTCTGTCAAAGGAAGAAGGCATAAATGGTTGCACTAGCTCTAACATATATCCTCTGCCATTTATTACCTGTTGTAGAACTCATCTTTGAGTGCAATTATCTTGCGCAGCAGTCGCAGGGCGCCGAGTACAAGGAACGTGTGTGAGCTCTTCATCAGCACCAGAATTTTCTTGAGGAGATCCTTTTGCAATAAGAAATTCTTAATGTGGTAGCTATGATGCTCCACGCAGAACGACAGTATGTCCAAAACAATGCCAAGCAGCTGTGCAGTCTGATAATCTTCGTTTTGCGGACGGTCACCCAGCGTGTTCACAATCAGCGGAGCTATGGAGCACAGATCGGCGGAGATCGGAGAGTTGTTATCCTGGAAATCACTATCGAATATTGTAGGTTCTTACCAACTAAAGTCTGAACACTGTATTTGTAGAAGAAATTGAGAAAATCCCCCTTCTCGGTGAGCATGTTCTCCGGCTCCAGGAGGATCTTAACGATCCCCATCAACTGCACCGCAATCCCCAGCTCCGGCTCCGAGTCGTTCAACATTTGTTCGATGGCAATGTTCAGTAGCATACGCTCCTATATATACATATAAAAGAATTGCATTACTCTATGGGGAAACCACTCGTTTATTGGTGGAAACTTACGCCCTCCGGCCGATTGACCTGATTCAGAGTGTAGTTGCGCACAACCAGCGGCGAGAACTCCACAATTGCCGTGAGTATGTCGATGGAGGCCGACTTGGTTTTCTTTTCGTTCATGACCAGCGTCAGTTCTAGCGCCTGCAATATGCCCAGGCAGGTGAGCGTCTTGTAGAACGAGTCCTTGCCCTGGGGCTGCAAGTTTTGGGCAAAGTTGCAGAACTCCTTCAAAAATAGGACCGTGTCGCGGCGCTTTGTGTCGCCAGTGGTTGGATCCGTGAGCACTGCAAAAACGTCGAGCAGGAACCGCTCGTCGTCCTGGATCATTGTGACAATCTCCACCTTGTTGAAGAATATAAAGCTGGAGAGCGTGTTCAGCATGTTGTCCTCGACGAAAACCGACGGCGTGGGTAGAATGATGTCCTGTATGTACTGCACACGAAACGTCTGATGGATTTTGGCTAGCAAATCCGGGTTTTTGATGGGAACAGCCTCACGGAACTTTGCCCAATGCTTCAAGTACTGGCGATGCTTCTTCGGCTGGGCCACACTGGGATCGTACTCGAGGCACCCGACCACATCGAAGATGGTGTCATCGGCGAACATAATCTCGAACAGGGCATTCTTGTTCAGCAAGAAGATGTTCTTGAATATTTCGAACAGATGATGCAGCCCCTCGGTGTTATCGAGATCCTCGCACACATGGAACAGATTCAGCAGCTTCTTAATGTAGTTCTCCGATTCCAGGGCCATCGACAGCTTCTCCTTGCGCAACGGCGTGGATAGACAGCTCTGGATTGTCTCCGATATGTCCTCGAGTCGTGACAGCTCGCACGGAGGCAACTCGATGGGTGGTGCAGTGTCCGACATGTCTTCGAAGCGTTCGTCCTCCGACTCCTCCACAATATCCTGTGTAATCTCCACCGAAGGATCCTTGCCCTGGACCTGCAGCAGTTAATGGAAGAGCGAAGAACGTATGACAAATGCCATCGACATTGCAGGAGGAGCAGATCCAGCAGCAGCACATTTACTGGTACTAACCTGACATATCTTCTCCCAAATCTCGTCACAACCAGCTTTTTCCTGAAAGCTCAGAGCCAGATCAAAATTATCGCCTTCGGACCAGACAATCAACGTGTCCTGCTGTTTTTGGTACGCGGTATCGGGTTGTATTTTGCTCTCCAACAGCAGCGATCCATCCGATTCGGCGCGCACCAGTAGTGAAATACCTGCAAGATCGTTTGGGAGGAAAACGGCACTTAGCTTAGCCCATGGCCCTATAGAACACAATGTAAGCTATATACTTACCTTTCAATCGGTCGACGTATGTCGAGGAGACATGCCCCGTGCCACGATCGTCCCACTGCCGCTCCGCATTCAGTGCGTACAACTTGACGCGTCGGCGGGTATCCGTAGTCATGATTAGGCCTTAGGTTTGGGTTTGGTTGTCGGTTTTGGTGTTCTCGTTCGTAGCTTTAGGATTCAATGTGCTTTTTTCTATGCTTTTCTTTTACGCGTTCTGTGGCTTGGAACCACAATTTCTGGGGCTAGGCTAGGCTACGCTACTAGGCTAAATTAAATTATGATTTTGAATTTAAAATTCAAAGGATTCGGCTAATCTCTATGCTTGACTTGTACATCCATGTTATGCTGATAGTTCAGCGCCGGTTGGAGGGGGGTCCTGTTCCGGTCCGGTTGTACACAATGCCACGCTGGAAAGAAATTTAAATGCGGATTATTAAGATTTCAAAAAAAAAAAAAACAAAGAAGAAGATCCCCATTCAATACGCTGCACTTGACAAGTCGCACAGCTGTGACGTCATTCTGTTGCTTCTGTTGCACGAATCGTTGAATTTTTGCCACATTGTAAATGGAATCTCGCAGAAAATTCAAAAATGTATGAATGAAATGTGAAAGCTGCTGCAGCACCTCTATGGTGGCATCGTGTCTGCGTGCCTGGTCATGCATATATCGGTGTATGGGTGCATTCAAAGAGAGAAAGAGAGAGAGAAGCCCACACCGAAACGAGAAATGCCAAAAAAACAAAAGAAAATTTACTTTTGCCCGGTCTGTTTACAAACATTAAAACAATTTTCATTAGATCTCTCCACGCCAGCAGCAAAACTCTCCACAACACAATCTTCGCTCTTTCCCGGCAGCATACTGTGTGTGGGGCCAGCAGCGAGACCAAACACGCGCGCGACGAAAACAAACAGCGGCGAGAGTGCGAGTGAGAGAGCGGGTAAGTGGGTGGCATGGCATCCACCCAGTATTAGACTATCGTACAGACACGGCGAAAATCAATGAGAGCCAGTGTATAAAAATACTGTGTGTAAACAGAACGAAAAACGAACGCAAGCTACGTCATCGATGGGGTAGTGTGCGTGTGTGTGACCGTTGTGGATACCACATACATATTTGCGTCACTCTAGATCACTACTCATCGATATCAAACCTTAACCGTGGCGACAGGCGCACTTCCCCTCTCTTCAAAGTTGAGTGATGAAAAAATATGCGTGTTGCGCCGCTCTAACTCGGTTTGCACGGCGATTACGATGGGGAGATACGAAACGGTTTACGGTACACGGTATACGATTTATATGGAATACCCACTACATATTATATGTATGTAGATGTTCCAACGAAGCGGCATAGGCCAATTTCGTGCTGATAAGACGAGCACCGGGGTCTGGCGAGCGGCTGGCGAAGTTGTACCAAAACAAACGCAGCAAGGCAATTCAAAACAAATGCTGAGAGAGAGGTAGGTTTACGCAATCAGCTGCACACAAAAAAGATATGTTTTGGGCAAGTGGGGTTATTAATAAACGGCAGTTGGACTATTTGAATGGCTGCCAAAAATGAGGCGGCTCGCGAGCCTGGAGTCATTGATAAAAGAGTGAGAAATGGCCAGAATGACAACTCTGCTAAGCTTTATTGTCCAGCAACAAAGAGAACATGGAGATAAGTGAGGGGAACTCGAACACACACACACGCACACATGAACACACAAAAGCTGCAATTGGCTGTGTATGCGTTTGAAGAAAGCAAGAAGAGGAAATAAGAGAAGAAAAGAAAAGGTAAGTATAAAAACGAAAGGATGCAGGACACCATTTGGGGGAGCGCGTCTGTTTCTTTCGATTCCGCTTTGTGCCAGCGAATTCTGGCTTTGCGGGTTCGCTCCGGACAATGAATGGCACAGTGCGGAAAAGGGCATGGCGGGGAGAGAATGGGGAGAAGGAGCCTGTTTAACGGCAGCAGTTACGAGCGCGTCGTATCTTGTTTTGCATGCATGGCAATGTGTGCAGAATACGCGCGCGCTCCTGCTCCACACATTCGCAAATGCGCGTGTGTGTGTCTGTTCCTGTATGCACATTTTGGGGTGGTATTGGGACGGGGACGGGTCGTGGCCAGAATTCGAAAATTCAGAAATAAATACTACCCCGATGTCCCATTCTGGCCCAAATGCAATGTCAGCAAATTTCAAATTTTTTTATTTTTAATTTCTGCGTTTTCATATGCGATACACACACAAGCTCTCACTCAATCACGCACACACACATGCACCGTCTAGCAAGTACATCGGTTTTTTGCCATCTCTTTTGCGGTTCATTCAATGATTGCGAATTATTGCGAATGACAGGCACAAAACAGAATCGCAAACATTGCAGCGTATTCAGCGAAGAAGAAGCGAGAGGTACAAGAAAAAAAATGCCGTCTTCCCCCAAATGAACACACGGACACACACCCACCCACAAATTGTTGTGACACATGCAATTCTTGTCAACGGATTGAGTTTTGATTTGACGCTGCAGCGCATTTTAAATGTATACCGTTGCCCCGATCCCCGATCGACGATATTCGCAAATTTTAGATTTAATTGAAACGCACACGAAAACGTAAGAAAAACATTGGGTACACACCACAAGCGCACACAAACACAGCCAAGCCAAAAACTCACCTCAATTCAACACACTACAGAGCGAAACTCAACACACGGCGACGTCGTTTGCGTTGTTGCATAAATTTGGACAAAATAATAGCAAAGAAATTACCTCCAAATTTGCAATACCCCCAGACAGCGGCAAGCCGGGAAACCGAAGTAGGGATTTGGTAGGATTTTTTCCAATTTTGCTGTCAGGCAAGGCCGCAATCATACGCGGAGTACGTGAGAGAACGAATCATGTACACACAAACACACTCGAAAATACACTCGCATTCAATCACACACACATGGGCAGAGACACGCTCAGACAACACAGAAGCCGCAAGGGTAATATTGGATCTTTTACCAAAAAGTTTTACACTCACGCTGCAATTTCTTGTTTCTGCCTTTGTTTTTGGTGTCTGCGCTTGTTCGCATTCGTTTAGCTTTGATAAAATTTACGCTTGCGCATATTTATTATTTACCACGCGCTTTCTAACAATTTATCTTTCGGATAATTATGATTTTACAATTTTCCGCGGAACGACGCTCGAGCGTTGACTGACCCGACCACGACAAATTTGTGGGGGGGGAATATGGGAATTGCTCAAAGACACTCTGGCTATTTGCGCGTCTTGGAATGATTTTTAAAACCGAATTGAAGCACAATTGTGCTCTTGCCTTTAACGTGATTTCTTCGCGTCCACAATTTTATGAAATTTTTCACTTGAATCAACGAATTCATCTATCCCTTTTGCTACCATCATTTACTCGCTGCGAAATTGGCGTGGAAAAAGAGGTATGGACAACATGCAACACGGCCCGGAAAATGCAACGAGTGCAGGGTTAAATACACCCCTATTGCCTAACATACCTTGGCATACAAATCGGCATTTTGTCGTCAAGGTATATTGTTCGTTATAACACGCCAAGGTGAGGTTCGTACAAGCGTTGCAATATGCCGTGACTGTTTTTGGCTGTTGTCCATACCCCTTTTCTATAGGTCGACTCATTTCTTCGTTGCTGAAGAGAGCAGCAGTGTGACCGTCTGCCCCTCAGAAGTATCGTAAATATATATAAACAAACAAATGGAACCGGAATTGACGAGAAAGCGATTTTACAGCCTGGGTGCGAAATATGCCGGCTCTACAGAAGAGGATCTGGAAGTGTGCATCAAAAACTATGGAGGGGACGTGGTGCGAATAGAGCTGGTGAACCGCCAGCATGGGGCCCAGTTTCAAAGGCAGCTGCATCGGTTTCTGCTGCTGCTCTGCGTGTCGACCGTCTATTTTGTCTGCGTTTGGCGTCTTGGGGACATAATTAGCTTTTGGCAGCCTCGCATCCTGTCACCCATTCTCATTATTACAACTCTTGCGATTGCAATCATTCGCAGCGCTTTGAGTCTGGTTAAAACGGAGAAACTATTCTACAGTTGGGATATGGCCCTGCAAACAGAGACGGTGCGATCCTTCGGCCGGGAGTCGGTCTTTTGTGTTCAGCGCGGACACATCCACGACATAGTTCTCAATGAAGTGATTGAAAACGTACGCCAATCATTGTTCAGCTTATTTTTAATTCTAATTGACATTTCCATTGTAGTTGGATGTGAAGTATATGTTAATATTGCGAACTAGAGGCAGCATGTTCAAGAAGCGACCTATAATACCACTGTTCCATGTGAGTCTTGCGCTTCAATTTCTTTTTCTCAGCAGTATGTGTATATTTTCGTTTTGCTATTGCAGACCCAGTCGCCCTCGTTCGAGTGCTTGCAGCATATTTATAAAATCCTGCATCGATACTGGCTGAATAGCGATAAGGATCGGTCGGAGCACGCTTACAACAGGGACGAACCCATCAGTGTGGCCTGGCAGAGTTCCTCCAATTTGTTCAACTGATGATTATGATGTTTATTAAAGAGAGTCTGTTAGTTACAAGTTTTCTTACCTCTAGCATGGGCGTGTATTCCTCCGGCTCGGTAGGAATTGGATCCAGTTGGGGTATATTGAGCTCAACATCCATTATTTTGCACTCGCCGTTTAGCTAAAAGTGAACGAGTTACTCATTTAAAGAGCCATAGTGAGAGCGTTGCGGAAACCTACCAAATTACGGAGATCTGCAGTATACAACTTCTTCATGATTTTGCGATACAGGTCCAGATAACAGGCGGTGCTAGTATTCGAATCATCTTGCACTTTCCGCAAGTTGAGTACTTGTTGCAGGGATAGATCTGCAAGTATTCAGCTATAATTGCTGGTTAAATGGTTTTATTTATTGACGCTCACCCATGGCGTCTCGAATCGGCGTCTTTGTTTTGAAAATTAGCCAGCAGTGTGACCGCGGATTTATCGATAAATTATACCGTCCGACCCTCAGAAATATACCGAAACATATCGCCTCATTTTCAAAATATACCGTCGGCTCATTTTGGACCCCAAAAATACCGAAAAGTATCAAAAATACGGTAAACGGTCACCCTGCTCACCCAGTCTTTTGTTTTGAAAAGTAGCCAGGGCTAATTCGTGCATTTTGTATCGATATGTGCCTATCGGGGAACTGCCACAACTAGCGATAGCGTCTGTATATTTACGGTATATTTTTAAAATGAGACGGTATATTTCGGTATATTTCCGAGGGCCGGACGGTATATTTTAGGTGTTTTCGAATATGGAAACTGACGTAATTTGTCAGAAACAACAACGTATTTTTGTTTATGTGCACTCCCCCCGCCCCACCCAGCAACGTGAGTAGGATCCCACCTACCTCGATGTCTGTTGCCCGCGTCCAGCACACGAAATTGGTAACTGCCACAGCCTGTTACCCCATCCGAATCTGTGCCCACAGCCTGCAATGTGAATCAACTGTTGTTGATTCGTCCACAACGTCAAATTAAAGTAAGTTCCGCCAAAAATAGCCAAAACAGGCGTGGCCGCACCCACATATGGGCATTGCGTAGCGCCTGTTTTAGTTTTCGGCTTTTAGGTGCTAATCACGTATTCATTTCCAGTTCCTTCCTGATCGTAAACACTAACAACGGCCTTTAGAATGAACCGCTCGGAACCCATACCCATTCGACGAGAGCGGTCCTTCGACAGCGTGATGAACAGGCTGTTTCGAACGCGGTCCCAGAACCATGAGAGCTTTCGCGCGGCAATGTACAACTTCCTCTTCCTAGTGGGCGTGTGCGCTTTTGTGGCTGTCTGCTTCATCCTGGGACCCTTTGTGCGCCCGCTGCTGTGGGCCTTCCTCATGGGCGCCGTACTCTTTCCGTTCAAGCGCAGGCTGGCGGAGAGCGTTCACAGTTGGTTTCAGCGGCTGGAGGAGCGAGATTCCAATGTGCTGGTATCGATTTTTCTGTCCCCCGTGGAGGCGACGGAGCACTGCGGCCGCTTGCTGATTGGATGGCTGTGCGAGCACTGGCAACTTCTGCTGGCAGGCTGTGGTGTGGCAACCTGCATCAAGCTGCTGGTCCTGTACGCACCAAAGGGCTTCATATACGCTATCTGGCATTGGCTCACCTTCTCGCACGGTCTGTTCGTGCGGATCATTGGCTTTCTGAATGTCTTTGTGGTAGGTTCTAGTTCTAGTTTTCTGCAGCAGCTGCTATACTTTTCTCTGTTCCAGATTATCGCCCTAGTGCTGGTCTATCTCACTTGTGTGCATTTCTTCTGGAGTGCAGAAAACAGCACTCGCTTTGTTGTCGCCGGTCAGTCCATGTGGATAGCGATAGCCGGGTACTTGAGCAGCTTCCTGGGCGCCCTCCAAGTGCCCGTGTTCCTGCTAGTGATGGCCTACGTCACCGCCTCCACAGCCTACCATCTGAAGGGAAGCGAGGGATCTGGCTCCTATCTACACCGTCTCAAGATGTTGTTCGATAAGAACGACTTCGAGCGATCGCTGAGTAATTTCAGTCTCTGTGGAAAAACGAGCAGCGACCGACCGGATGTGCTGCAGTCGGATGTGGAGGATATTTCTCTCAGCGATACAGTTGACTCGACGGATACGTTTGACGTGAAGTCCACTGAAATGTCTGAGGGCCAACAGAGCGGTACAATGTTGAAGCTGCTACTCTACGCCTGCCTGGCCAATGTGCTGTACCGAAACATTTGGATGGTCATCCTGGCAGCCGTGCCGGTGCTGCTTCACCTCATATACAAATTCGGAGCGTACACGGGCATCACCGACTTTGTCTGTGGCAAGATCAACGAATTGTACTTGGGATTGCGGGTAAGTGATCTGAAAACATTTGATAATAATCCCTAATGTTGTTGTACAACTGCAGGCCTGGGCCATTGAACATCACTCGGCTGTACTGCCGCTATGCCTGCCGGGGGTTCTGGAACTCAACTACAGGATCCACACTATTGTGCGGGATTCTTTGAAGTCTTCTGTAGAGTCGGTCACCTCCATACTCATGATCATTGCCATGCTGTTCTGCATAATCATTCTGAGCGTGTTCTTTTGCGTCAACATTTATTCGGAGACCATAGAAGTGGTCTACCTGACAAAAGATCTAATTAACAAGACGATCACAGACCGTCCTGAGTTAATTGATATTTTGCCGGCCAATATGCAGGCGTCCATTGATGATGCGCTCGACAATGCGCACCATTATGGTCGCCGTAAGATAGAAACCTACATTGACGATTGGCTTGCAGATGCCGATAAGGTGCATGCCGCCAAGCTCAAGGATCAGATACTCGACGTGTGGGACAGGCTCATCCAGTATTGGGTGGATTTCAATAAGAGGGGCACCTCGTACGGCCCGCGGGTGCCCACGGATGCACTGAAGAGCACTTTTGGCGAAATTGTTGATAATCCAGGTAAGCGCCCATATCCCCACTTCTCTTTCCCCGTTCCTGTCTTTATTTTTCCCACGTAACAATTTAACAGATTTGTCATTATGTTATCCTGTACTTTTCCGTATGTATTGGGTTTTTTCTTTTGTGTTTGTTGCATCCTAACCCTTTCCGTAACGTTCGTCTGCGTCTCTATGAAATAACAACTCATTCTATGTTCCATCCGCTAACCTACGGACATTTATTTAACAAAAGGACATTTTAAAGAGCTAGTTTTAGTGGCGAAACAGGGTATCATTGGCTGGGCGCAAAGCAACACGCAAACTATCCTGGAGGTGGCCGAGTCCCTGTGGCACATAATTCGCACGAATCTGTCGATGATTATGGGAGTGACTGGCGAGATTCTGTCGCTGGTGTTGTCTGGAGGCCAAGCCTGCATCGAGTTTATTCTAGATATGGCAAGTGAACAGAATACTTAATAGATCTTGAGACACCTTTAATCATGCTGTCTTCTTGCAGATTGTCTTCTTCACCGCTTTGTTCTACCTGCTCTCCAGCAGCAAGGAAAAGTATGCGCCGCTTCAGATAACAAAGTACCTTGGCTACTCCTCCTCTGGCTCTAAGATCGCCGATAGCATGGAGAACTCCATTACTGTAGTTCTAGTCTCAATGTTCAAGTGCTCCATATTCACCGGGCTGTTCACGTGGCTGGTCCACACGGTGTTTGGGGCCAGAATCGTTTTCTTGCCCTCTGCCTTGGCAGCAATTCTGGCAGCGGCACCATTCCTGGGGAGCTACTGGTGTGCTGTGCCCGCTTTTCTGGAACTCTGGCTGGCTCAGGACTGCTTCTATACGGGACTGCTATTGTTCCTGCTGCAGTTCTTTGTTCCCTCTACATTCGAGACGGCCATCTATGCCGATCTGAAGGGGTGAGTGGCTCATCCAACGTGAAAACAGCTGTTTATTGAATGATTTTATTCTGATTTTGAGCAGAGGTGGACATCCGTATCTCAATGGTCTGGCCATAGCAGGGGGCATGTACTGGATCGGTTGGCAGGGGGCCATATTGGGTCCCCTCATGTTGTGTTTCTTCATTGGCATTTTCGAGGTGGCCGCCTTGGCCATGCGCTCAAATCAGGATGCCCCCAGGTACTTTTTAATTTATGATTTTTTGCATGAAATTTAAACTTTGTTAATATTGTGCGGCGGAAGGACTTAAGTGAGTGGCAATCTCTTTTCGCTGGCTTTCGTTTACTTGGACAACCCAAAAGTGTATTTTCTCCGGACTAATGCCATCTTCTTGGTGCTGTATTTCAGGCGCAGCTCAGAGGAGGAAATGCGGACCACGTGAGTTGGCCTGGAACAGCAACGAACTACGAATTTCATTCTAATACTCGAACTACAAAAAACTTAACTAACAAACGCTGTGGCCAAAGGCTTGACAATCAAATTGAGATTGGCCCAATATGATATATCATACCACTCAGGATGGCACGTTCCATTGAGGACAGTTTTATTCTTCTGCTTTTTCAATTATTTCGTTTCGTTACGTTACTATCGTACTAAAATTAAAAGTATTTGATTCCGTCTTAACAGTCCCCTTACCATATAAGCAACTTATTTATTAATTTTATACAATATGTACCTCGAATCGAACTTTTTCTGTATATAATAAGAAAAGTCTTTGAAGCGCCTTGTTACCATTTCTGTAGCTGATTATGTATCGATTTATTGCTCGCTACTAATTGCTTACAGTAACCATGTGATTTGTTTAAGCTTTCAACAAATTAATTTGTTGCAAAAATAAATTCCTTTGTGTACTAACAATAAATCTGTTGCCAAGCCCTAACTAATCTCAGAGGTCGTTTCCCCCAGCCAAAGCGAAACGAACACTTTCCGAACGATCATAAACGAGGAAAAGCCCAAGCCAGAGTTGGCGGCGTCTGGCGGAAAACCTGTTGAGCTGAAAATCATAACCAAAACTTTTCAGCTGCTGCCGAGCCCAAAGAAAACCAGTTAAGAATAGAATATATATTTGTGTGTGCTACTATTTGTGCAGAACCGGTAACAGTGAGAAGAGAAATATATGAATATATAATATATGTGGTGCATGTGCATGTGTAGAGCATTCTTTAGACTTTCTTTATTTAGTGTACTGGTTCTTAAACGTGAATTCAGGATGTCTCTCCACGCTGAAAAGAAGCAATATGGGTTAGTAATCAGGTCATGAAAGAATTTTCTATTGCCGTACCCATGGAAGAAGGCAAAGTCACACACGCGAATGTTCTTGTCCAGGGCAAGCAGCTTGGCCACCTCCTCGTCGCTCAGCTTAAAGTCAAACACATCTAGATTTTGCTTCAAGCGAGCTGGATTCGTGCTCTTGGGAATGGCGCAGAGCCCTGTGTCGATGATCCAGCGCAAAAGAACCTGAGCCGGGGACTTGCCATGTGCAGCCGCAATCTCCTTGACTTCGGGTATGTCCATTAGATCGGGCAAATCGCGTACAATTCCAGCACCTGCATTGAAGGCGGCAATACCCTTGGAGCCCAAGGGAGAGTATGCTGTAACGGAAACGTTCTCGGCCTTGCAGAAGTCCACCAGGTCACGCTGCTGCAGGTACACATGGTGCTCGATCTGATTGTTTGCTGGGCGGATCTTGCAGTTGTTTAGCAGACGTGCCACCTGATCCTTGCTGAAGTTCGAGACTCCAATAGATTTGGCCAGGCCCTTCTCCACCAGCTTTTCCATTTCCACCCAGGTGGCAGCATGATTTGTGGTCGGATCAACCTCAAGCAGACCCTCTGCATCGACCTTGAAGCTACCATCCTCGTTGATGTTCAGGGTGAAGGGAGTATGAATAAGGTACAGGTCCACATAGTCCAGCTGCAGATCGGCTAGCGACTTCTTAATGGTCGGCTCCACTTCGTGCGGGCGATTGGCTATCAAGGAAAGCGTCTATTGAAAGGTCGAAATGTGCATTAATTATATTATAATCACTTACAAATGGGAGGCAGCTTGGTCACAATGAACAGCTCCTCACGCTTGACCTTGCCAGCATCCAGCCAGCGCTTGAGAACCCGCCCAATGGCCGGTTCGTTGCCATAAACTGGCGCCGTGTCGATATGGCGATAGCCCGCCTCCAGGGCAGCATCAATGGCCGTCTCGATTTCCTCATCGGAGGCCTACAATTGGCAATTGAGTGGTGTGACGAAATTGTGGCTAAGTGGTTTTAACGATAAGACTTAAAAGATGACTTGAATATATTGTTTGGACTCTCTAGTATGTTCCAAGTAGTGTTTGCCCATTTGGGACTTTTGTTTGGTTTACTCTTCACAATGTTCAGAGAAAGTCGATTCCAAACGGGCTATAAATGACGCTCTATTGTGCATGAGAAACCGGTCTGCATCATTAAGCACAAAGCACGAAGAGATTCTATCTGCCTCCCTGGGGGGGGAGTGCATCCGACGACTTGATCGTGTCGAAAAAGTGGAGGTGGGTGACGTGTCGGATTCTTCTTCGTCTTTCCTTAGTTATAGGAACAATTACCTGAAAAGTTAAGCAACTTATTCTATAATTATTAATAATCAATTACCTGCCATGTTCCGACGCCAATTAAAGGCATTTTTTGCCCATTGTTGAAGGTCAAATACTTGTCGCCAGCCATCTTTAAGTGAATATTTAATGATTTCTTAACTGAAGAAGCTTAGTAATCGTATAGATCCGAACGAGCCGCTTCACAACCTGCCGCTTCGACGTTTGGATAAGAACAAAACAATCTCTAAGCTTTACAAAAATGGTTTAATGGTCACGTTGCCGGCATCTACACTGGTACACGACCCCCAAAAGCTGGAGCATGTGGGATTATGCACATTTTAAAATACGGTCTGACTAGTTGGAGGCTCTAATGATCGAAAGATGACACGCTTAGCTGCATGTAATGCTGTTCGGTTTATTGTGGTCGTTGCTAAGGGTACACGGACTTAGTTTTTACAGACTTCTTCTGTACTTGTCACAGAAATGGAGCCAATTACAGTTAGAAGCCAACGGAACATTCATTTCATTAATTCGTTTAAAATTTGAATTGGGTTCGTGCGCGAAAAATACGTTCCCACTGAAATATTATGTACATGGTAACTACATGGTAGCTACACATTTGCGACATATCAACACAATAGGAGTTGAACGGAAAAACTTATTGTTGATTATAAAGAAAAAACAAAAAACAATATTATCAATTTCTCGTCTTGTTTACAAGATCTCATAATTGGCGGCGATCAAATCTACAAGGCTTTGAAGGTGCGGAGTATCCTTTTCCGTGGAGCTGACATTGTAACTACGCACAAGATCACAAAAACACAAACAACATTACTGAAGACTTACACACTGTGGAGTTGAACCATCATCGTCCGCAGCAGCGGCGGGCTCCAGTATACCAGGTGACGAACACCACAGGCAGTGGCATTGAGCTACGTAGTGGAAGGGCTACGACAGATTTGGCTGCGAATACGCGATCTGGCAATCGTAGTGGCGCCGCCAGTCGTTCGGGAAGGAATGGTGGAGGAGCTAGAGATGCAGCAGGTGGTTCGCGCGGACCAGGCACCACCTGTGCCATTGAACAATTCTTGCCCGCCGGCACCGGCGCCGATACCACAGGCAAGTAATGCGCCAGGTGGGGGAGGCCCGACGCATGGAATTGATGGCCCGCGGGCTAGAGCCGCGAAACTAGCCGCTTCTGCGGCAGAAGTGTTCGCCATCATTCAGCGTATGTTTTTTGATCCAATACCGAAACCCGCCCCTGTTGGATGCGCCTGCATGCCATGCGGAACAGAGGTCGTGAGGTGCAAACTAGAGGAGGACTTCAACAAGTACAGTCCAGTCATGTGGGCCGACCCTTTGCTGATAACGGCAATTACCATCGACGCCGATGAACAGACGATTGACTGGCTTCCTGCTATTGGCGTTGACGTCAACAACTCTGTTTTCATGTCACTCCCAGACTTGACCTTTTCGGCACTGGGTACACAGCTGAAGGCGATAGTTGACTCTGACATCTCCCAGACTGGTGCAATACGGGCCATGATACCAATACCCGGACTGAAGTCGGTCGCCACTGTTATGCATGTCGGGGATGTTGAGTCGATCCCGCTATTGGATGAGGCCGCGTTCGCCCGGCTCCTTCTGTATCAGGCTCTGACCATGGAGCCATCCCAGCAGGTGCACGTTTCATCGGCAGTGAACGAAATCAGCCTGAACACATACGTTCCACGTGATGGAAGCGAGCTGAAGTGGACTCCTGCACTGTCATCATCGGATAACCTGCAAATCGGGACAGCATCCGAGACGAGCACCTTGTACTTCAGAACAATCGACGAGTACGCGGCACTGGTCTCCGGCAATACCACAGACAGCGTCATGATTAAGACGAAAGCGAAAACCGATGTTGACATCGCCAATGTGGTCTTTGTTCCAGTCAAGTCAGCATGGCGTGGTCAGGCGTGGTTACTCCCGTACATTATGAGCTTCACAACCACAGCATGGTGGAATCACGCCGTCCGCGTTGTGGCAAGTTACACTGTGCTTGGAGACCAGAAGACTGATGGCAAATTGATGAAGATGGCTTTCATACCCAAGGCAGCCACGGTGTACATACCAGGTAACTACGAACGCATCTGTCTGGTGGTTGTCGATTCAACAGCAGTGACATTTCCATCAGCCCAAAACTTTGCCGTGTGTAAAGGTTTGGCTGCATCCCGATCAGGGGAGTTCGACTTCGCCAAGAAGTTGTATGCTGCCATTGGACGCGTAACGGACGCTAGCATCAGACCGATGAGTCCAACGGACGTCGTGCAGGCGCTCAACCGCATGATCGAGTTTATGTGCACGAGGGCCGAGTTTCGGGTGATGCAGGTGAAGGCTTCCATTCTAGCAACATCCAAGATGAATGGTGTCGGCGTTCACCCATCCCCTGACAAACCACCGAAACAGGGTGACAGGCAAAGAGATCATGTGCGTGGTCTGGCCGAGTTCAACTCAAAGGATGGTATCATGGTTGGAGACTTCTCAGCGACGGATCTGGCTGGCATGAAGAGCGAGTCACGCCTGAGCCACATCAAGGCGTACCAGTCATGGCGGACTGACCCACTTGGGTACATGGCGTACGGGCAGGTCAACTGTAAAAAAGACACCGCACACTATCCCGCGATGTGGAAGTACACATCGAGTTGCATCCAGTACCAATTGACGGAGAGCACAGCAAACCTGAGGATCCTTAGGCTGTGTGGCGTGTACACCCAGGACCCCGAAAGTGACAGACACGTGTTACAAAAGCCTGTCGATGTGTACAACACAACGCTGTCGTATGGAGCGCTGATGCTGGGGTTGACCAACTGGGCAGCAATGGAGCTTGGGGTGACTGTCTTTGACCACAACCGACTCGGACGTAGATGGCGATGCTTACCTGATGACTACCTGAGTCTTTGGCCGCTGCTCACTAATGGCTTTGTGATTGAGACTTCGGAGCACACTGACAGACTAGTCGACGAAGTGGTCTGGCAACACCGTTGGGGATGGCTGATGAATCAGTGGAAAGATGCGGCAGACGTAAACTCAGCCTGGCTAGACACACACTACAGCTGGAATGTCCCATGGTGGTACGTCGCTGCAGTCGCGGATAAATTCGGGCACAAGTTCACCTGTGCCACAGACCCTGACGGTGAGCTGATCATGGATGAGGACTACTCGTTTTCGGACAACATGTTGGGTTGGCTAATTGAACCAGCTAAAAGCACCCAATTCGATCTGAGTTTGCTGACATCATCCAGCCAGTACGAGAAGAGGGTCAGCAAAAGCAAGCCAGCGTACTTCGACATACTGACGCCAACGAGTAACGGCAAGGCAGAGGCGTACCACATGTTGTCTTGGAATCCGTATTTTCTCCAGGACACCAAGAAGTTGCAGTACCGTACCAGATCAGCGGTATCCAAGCCAGACTACAACGGCATAGTGGAGCTGAACATCGTGGTATTTCCAAGCGCCAGAATCGGAAAAATGAAGACGTGCCCACGGGCGTTCGTGTCCTCAGAAAACCGTATCGATGGTTCTGACCCCAACACGTATCCGTTCGTCACAGGCGGTGTAGCCGTTATACAAAGGCTGCTGGTGGGCGATTACATCGGAGCGATAAACGGTGGGTTATCTGTAATAATGGACGCGCTCAACGACTGGAGATCCTCATCGAGATTCGGTGGGGATTCCTTTCGTGAATAGCTCCCTCACTAGCCCACTTGTTGTTTCGTTTACTTCCAGTCATACCTGAAAACAGCAAAGGGCAGACAGAAGAAACAGCTGAGTCTACGTTACGGTCAGCTAGTATTATCACTTATCATGTGCGAGAACATAACATCAGCGTTCACTCTAATCTTGGCACCAGCAAGGAAGTGTTCAGCACTGCCGACTGGGACAGAGAGGTTGATGATCAGACATGTCGTCCATGCGGACAGTAACATTACCAACCATCCTGTCGGAGGTGTGACCATTTGTGTGCCGGAAATACACAAGTACTTTCAGATAAAGAGGTTAATTAAGCACACACCAGACATACTCATATCACCAGACTTATCCATAAAAGCGAACTTTGATCAAGCGCGTCTAACGTCCTTGTTACGTTGCAGATCGGTGTACTCGAAGACACATCCACAACGCACGTTCGACAACCCGATGTCGTGTTACCTTCAGGTTCTGGAAGAGGTCACCCTTGATAGTGACCACCCCACCCTGATACTTTACCGATGGATAATGTCGCAGACCTATGCAATAGTATAGGGTATGTACATTTGTATACCCTATTTCCCTTAAATTCTTTTAAAATTCCTATATATATATCCCGATCCGGATACATATTCTCGGTATCCGAAGATATACTTTATAACATTTATATATCCTTGGAGTCTGAGATGCCATGAATCGAACCCATCCCGAAGAGAGCAAGCCCGAACTATACCCATCATATACTGAAACTCGCTTTCGACATCAAAATATACCGAAAAGTATATAAGCGGTGTAAACGGTCACTCTCTCTCGACAACGTTTTTTAAACTGTTTCGCGTTTTTTGTAAGTTTTTAAACAATTATGGGACTAAATAAACATTAAATATTAGCATTACACAGAATTATTAATAAGAATGTGGGTGTCAAACATGTATTAGCCTAGAAAGACTAACAATCGGACGAATCAACAGGTGGTTGAGATTCGTGAGTTCCACACGTGCCGCAGAACGTGTGGACTATGTTTAGTTTTTTTTTCAATTAAATTCAATTAGTTGGAAAGATGATTCGCAAAGTGCCTCTAATTGTGATACTTGGTTCGACTGGAACTGGCAAGACAAAGCTCTCTCTGGAACTGGCCGAGCGCTTTGGGGGCGAGATAATTAGCGCAGATTCAATGCAGGTCTACACAAACCTGGATATTGCCACGGCCAAAGCAACGAAGGAGGAGCAAGCACGTGCGAGGCATCATCTGTTGGATGTGGCGACACCGGCTGAGCCTTTTACAGTAACCCATTTTCGCAATGCCGCCCTCCCGATCATCGAGCGGCTGCTGGCCAAATCCACGCCGCCCATTGTCGTGGGTGGCACCAATTATTACATTGAGTCCCTGCTTTGGGACATATTGGTGAGCACGCAGGATGGGGATAGCAACAAGAGCCCGACGGCAGACCTGTTGGCAGATGACGCGATGTCCTCGCTGACAACGGCCGCACTGCATCAGCATCTGGCCAGCATCGATGCCAGTAGCGCCAATCGCATCCACCCCAACAACAGACGCAAAATTCTGCGCGCCATTGAAGTGTACCAGGGCACCGGACAAACCCTGACGGAAAAGCTAGCGGAGCAGCGCCAGCGGCCAGGAGGAAACCGTCTGGGCGGCCCCCTACGCTATCCCCACACAATCCTTCTGTGGCTCCGATGCAAACAGGACGTACTTAATGAACGGCTCGATGGCCGGGTGGATGGAATGCTGGAGCAAGGACTGCTCAGGGAGCTGCGCCGGTTTCACGATACGTACAAGGGCGTCACTGTGCAGGCCTATACCTCGGGGGTGCTGCAAACTATTGGCTACAAGGAGTTTGTGCCGTATCTAATCAAGCACAACGAGCAGCAGGATGAAAAGATTGAAGAGTATCTAAAGTCGCATGGCTACAGATTGCCCAGCAAAGAAGATCCCAAGGAGGACGATCTGCCCGATGGCATCGATCTACTGCGTACCTGCTGCGATGAGCTCAAGTTGGTCACGCGCCGCTATTCGAAGAAGCAAATCAAGTGGATCAACAATCGATTTCTAGGCAGCAAGGACCGCCAGGTGCCCGATCTCTACGAGCTGGACACCAGCGATGTCAGCGCCTGGCAAGAGAGGGTCTATCAACGAGCCGAGTCCATAGTCGACAGCTATCGCAGTGACCAACTTTGCGAGATTGAGCCAATGGGCAAGCGTGTGCATCCCGGGGCCGATCTCAACGAGGAGACGAGCAACTTTTGTGCCACCTGCGAGCGGCACTTTGTCGGCGAGTATCAGTGGGGGCTGCATTTGAAGTCCAACAAGCACAAGCGTAGGCGGGAGGCAAAGCGCAGAAAGGAGAAGGAGCAGGAGCAGGAAAGGGAGAGGGAGAGGGAGCAGTCGAAGGCTGATAAGGAATTGTAAACGAAACCCGACCCCGGAGACACGGCATGGCAATAAAGGCGTCTACGTGAATTTGAGAGATATGTTTTGTTTTTTATTGAAATGATCTGCTGATGCAAGCGGTTTGGATGCGAATTTGATAACCCCACAGCCTGCAGCTGTAGCTGGGGGGCTGCTATTTGTATCAACGACAAACCGCAGCCCACAGCGGAGGTCGTTGCCTAGGCGAAAAAGCGAAAACATGTTTGTGCAATCCCAAACACAGCCTACGTCTCCAACTGATCTCGCTTCGTCTTTCATTTGCATTTCAGTCGCCTAGTGGATCGGACGTTATAACGCCTTGAAAACTACATTCAGAATCATGAGCTCCAGCAAGATTGGTGAGTGTCTCGAAGGTTCTATGTGAGTGTCCCCCCTTTTACACATTTTTATCCCTAGCTCTTCTTAGCGTTTCGGACAAGACGGGTCTGGTTGACTTGGGCAAGAAACTAGTGAGCCTAGGCTTTGACCTAGTGGCCAGTGGAGGCACGGCCACAGCTTTGCGAGGTGCCGGCCTCAAGGTAAAGGATGTGTCAGACATCACTGGGGCACCCGAGATGCTCGGGGGACGGGTGAAGACTCTGCATCCTGCTGTGCATGCTGGCATCTTGTCGCGCACCACCGACAGCGATCTCGCTGACATGTCCAAGCAGGGCTACGGTCTGGTGCAGCTCGTGGTGTGCAATCTGTATCCTTTTGCCAGCACCATTGCCAAACCAGATGTTACGCTGGCCGATGCTGTGGAGAACATCGACATCGGCGGAGTCACGCTGCTGCGTGCGGCGGCCAAGAACCATCAGCGTGTAACCGTGGTCTGCGAGGCCGTGGATTACGACCGGGTTCTAGCCGAGATCAGCATCAAGGGCGATACCACTCTGGAGACCCGCCAGTCTCTTGCCCTCAAGGCTTTCACGCACACGGCCAGCTATGACGATGCCATTTCGGACTATTTTAGGAAGCAATACGGATCGGGTGTGTCCCAGCTGCAGCTGCGCTACGGCATGAATCCGCACCAGAAGCCGGCACAGCTGTACACCCAGCTGGCGCAGTTGCCACTGCGCGTTCTCAATGCCTCGCCTGGGTTCATTAACCTCTGCGACGCCCTTAATGGCTGGCAGCTGGTGAAGGAGCTGAAGCAGGCACTTAAGCTGCCGGCGGCCACTAGCTTCAAGCATGTGTCGCCCGCCGGTGCCGCTGTGGGTGTGGCCCTTAGTCCGGCCCAGGCCAAGCTCTGCATGGTGGACGACCTGTATGAGCAGCTGACTCCCCTGGCTACGGCCTATGCCAGGGCACGTGGAGCGGATCGTATGAGCTCGTTCGGCGACTTTGTGGCCTTGTCCGATGTCTGCGATGTGGTCACTGCCAAAATCATATCCCGCGAGGTATCTGATGGTATTATTGCTGCCGGCTATGAGCCGGCCGCTCTGGAAATCCTCAAGAAGAAGAAGAATGGCAGCTACTGCATTCTACAGGTGAGTAAAAATGAATGTGAAATGAACTTTTATCTAATTCCAAAACTGATTTTAGATGGATCCCAGCTACGAGCCAACCGCCGTGGAGCGCAAAACCATCTTTGGCCTCACGCTGGAGCAGAAACGCAACGATGCCGTCATCGATGCCTCGCTCTTCTCGAAGGTCGTAAGCAAGCTCAGTCCCCTGCCAGAGGCGGCTGTGCGAGATCTGATTGTGGCCACCATTGCCCTGAAGTACACGCAGAGCAACTCCGTTTGCTATGCTCGCGATGGTCAGGTCATCGGCATCGGAGCCGGCCAGCAGTCAAGAATCCACTGCACTCGGCTGGCCGGCGAGAAGGCCGACAACTGGTGGTTGCGTCAGCATCCCAGTGTGGCCGGCATGAAGTTCAAGGCTGGCGTGAAGCGCGCTGAGATTTCGAATGCCATCGACAACTACGTGAATGGCACTGTTGGCAAGGATATGCCCTTGACCCAGTTCGAGAGCATGTAAGTGAATAATTATGAAAGAAAGGTACTCGATCGCTAAACTCTCTTAATCTACAGGTTTGACAAGGCGCCCCAGCAGTTGACAACGGAGCAGAAAGTGGAATGGCTGAAGCAGCTCAGCGGCGTGGCCTTGGGATCCGATGCATTCTTCCCCTTCCGCGACAACATCGATCGCGCTAGCCTGGTAAGCTGGAAAACTGTTGGCGTTGGTATACTCTACTTTAACACAATTGTATTATGTTTTTACAGAGCGGTGTATCGTACATTGCCAGTCCTGCGGGCTCCACCAATGATGCTGGCGTCATTGCCGCCTGCGATGAGCATGGCATCATCATGGCCCACACCAATCTGCGTCTGTTCCATCATTAAGGACAGTGAATCCACCCAAAAACAATCCTAAATCTACAAATACCAGTTTCAGACTGTAATATTCGGGTATTTTTCGCATTTGTAGTTCTATAAGAAATACTATCCTCAACTCTGTCGAATATACAGACCCAACCCTGACTGCCTCTTTCCCGCATTCCATGCACAATAAAAATAGATTAACCTTTAGTTAGTTAAACGAACGCTGCCTCGACTAAACACTATTTATTTCAAGAATTAGTTGCTATTGAATGTACAGTTCGAAGCCAATCGAATCCAGATACAGATCCAAATCCATGACCAGCTGCAAGTCTAGGGGCGGCCTACCGGCTGCGTTGCTTGCGACAGGCGCTTCGACAATTGCACAAAAAGACGATGAAGGTGAAGCAAAAAATGAGCACAGAGCCCAGGACCAGGGCCACGGATGTGGTCTGGTCGTAGGTGAGCGTGGGATCGAGCACATGCTGCTGCGGCAGCAGTTCAAAGTCGACTAGCACTTGGGTGCCGTTGGGCGGCGGGCAGGGCTGCTGCACAATAATCTCCTGGTGCTGGACCTGTGATAAGAAACACCACCCCAAAACATGAGCATCCTTTAGCTATTGCAATCTTTTAATGGGGGAGACCCACCTGTTTGTTTCGGCACAGCTGCAGTCCAGCCGAATTGGCCAGCGTCTCGGCACTGTACTCGTCCTGCACCAGGACGGGCAGCAGCCAACGCTCCGGGGATACCAACTGCAGCCAGGACCAGAACTTGGCCAGATTCTGCGGATGCACTAGATAGCCACCCACCGAGGCCAGTGCGAGGCTGATCAGACCGTTGACAATGCTTGCCGAGACCTTGCACGGGAACAGATGCGCACAGAACAGAGCCAGGGTCTGGACGAGGGTTAAGTAGAGCAGCATGTAGCCTGCAAAAGCATAAGCAAAGGGTATGTTCAGCAGGGCGAATGCCAGGTTCAGGGCAGAGCCAAATATCTTACCCATGTACAAGTAGATCCCTGTATCGCTGCTGTTCGAATAGGTGTAGAGCCCGGCCATGCTGTGTGCCGGCAGAAGATATGCCAGCCAGATGCACAGGCTGGGAAACAGTCCCAGTAGACTCTGTTCGACCAAGAGAAAGCTCTATCAGTGCTCCTTCTTCCACAGTATAATTCTTATAGATATTCACCTGTACAACGATGTAGAGACTGCGGGAGTACAAGCCCAGGCGAATGTCTCGCTCCGCATGCCGTCGATCCTCCTGTGTGTCCCGAATGGTCAGCATGACCAGCGGCCAGTAGACCAGCACCATGACGCAATGGTGGTAGCCAAAGCGATCGTTGTAGGTAAGCTGTGGATCCGAGGCAGGCACGTCCCAGAAGATGCAGCCGATGCAGAGCGACAGCACGGCGGCGGCAATCAGCTTGCTGATCCACGTGAGCAGCGAGCCCGGCTGCTTGTAGCCCGTAAAGCGCTTGATCAACGCCTTCATCTGCCCAAAGAAGCCCGCCTTCATGGTGAAGTTGGGCAGTGAGGCGGGTGGGGCGGCCAGCGGGGGCTCCGAGTTGATCTGATCCCAGGCATTGGCCAAGGATTCGATGCGTGCCGAGGACTCGAGCATTGCTGCCGCTGACAGGTCATCCAGGGTGACCAAATCCACTGAAATGACAGAAGGTTGAAGCCTGAACGAAATTGATACCAACGGCATCCCACTTACAGTAGTAGTCGGCTGGGTTCTTGAACGGCGGACACGGATAGCCCAGTTCGCCCATGTGTCGTGGCAGGTCGGCACGACTGCCCGAGAAGACGGTGCGTCCGCCGGATAGCAGCAGGACTCCAGAGCACATGGACAGTATCTCGAAGGTGGGCGGCTGCAGCGTCATGATAACAATGCGTCCGCCGCTGCACCACTGCCGCAGATACTCCACCAGAAAGAACGTGTCAAAGATGTCCATATTGCTGGTGACCTGGTCGAGAATCAGCAGCGAGGACTGCGCCAGCAGCTGGCATGCCACGCTCAGGCGCTGCTTCTCCGAGTGCGTCAGCGAGGAGACATTCGAGGCGCGCACCGTGTTCAGGCCCAGATCCTCAATGAGCACATCCATGCGCTCCTTTATGTCGCTGCGATCAATGGGTCCCCGCAGCGCCGCATGGAAATTCAGCGTGCACTGGACACTCATGCGCGGATCGAGGGAGGACACCTCCAAAGCCGGCACATAGCTGCACAGCTCCCGCAGGCCGTGTCGATTCACCTGCTGCCCGTTGATCAGTATCTCTCCGCCCAGGCGCTCGCTCAGTCCGGCCAGACACTCGGCCAGGGCGCTGCCCTCGCGCTGCGATGTGGCCATAATGGCAAACAGATCGCCGGCCTTTGCCTGCATCGAGACGCCGCGCAGGCAGGGATTCACGTCGAGGCAATGCACCTGGATGTTGGGATAGATCAGGCCCATACCCGACTGCTTACGGCTGTGGACGTACTGCTGCGGATGCCGTGAGCTGGCGTAGATCCGTGACTCGTTGTAGTCATACCCCAGACCGAGGCCCAGACCTCCGTCTACCCCCATCCCTCCCTGGGCCCCCAGCAGATCCGCCTCGCTGTGAGAGCGGTGGCCGTAGTGCTTACCATTCGTCATGTACTGCTGCTGCTGGTGCTGTTGATGCATCTGCTGGTGCTGCTGTTGGTGGTGATGATGCTGGCCCACTGCTATGCTGGCCCTGCTATTGGCCTGACGCAGTGC